AAAGCCTGAGGGGTGAAGCTAAAAAAATTTGCATTAAAGAAAACCCCTTCAGCAAAATTCTTTCTAGTGAGAGTGAACAGATTTTTTTACAAAAAAAGAAAAAAAGGTGCTTTAATGCTTAGAACCTTTGAAAAGGTATGAAGTCATTCTTTTCAAAAAGTTATCTTCTTTCAACAGACAGGTAGAAAAAAGTAGTTCCGTTCTAATAAATTTTCTGTCTGCTGTTTGAACTACAGGTTCAAACTAGAACATCGAGAAAGCCACTCTGACCATGAAAAGTGATGACAAACAAGAATAAACTCCGCTGATTTATGTAAAAGTAAGTTTTGCTTTATTAGTAATTATCTAACCTCAGAACTAGAAAACTGAAGTACATGTTCCCACTTTCCTAACTCTGTTCATCTGCAAGTTTGATTGTTGGTTTGCATAAATTGCAAATGTATTATGGCCATGTTGCTACATCCTCTTTGAAATTAAGTCAATACCTCATATGCAGTAACTGATGTATAAGCACACATTTTCATGTCATAGAAAATATTTCATACGAATTTCACAGAGACTGATAACATTCAGACTCTGGATATACTTGTGTGTTAACATTTCAGAGTATGATATTGACAATGTACACAGAAAAATCCCTGTAATCCATCATGGCAGGGTCCTTGAACTAGATGGGTTTTAATAATGCCTTAAATTTCATAACAGTTACTTCAAAATGCATGAAATCTTGTAGCAGACTCCTGATATCCAAGAATAAGCCTAACGTTCATGTGCACTACATTAAAAAAATCTAAACACCACAAAACCTATTTGTATCACAGAAATTTGAGGGCAATCTTCTGCAAGCTCAAAAACTTGTCTTTAAATAGTGTGTGTTCCAAATCACCTTTAGAGTGATAAATCAAAGCCTCTGAGCTCTCACACTGCAGTTCAGCAGGCTCCTTTGGAGAAGGCCAGGCTCACCCTTGCACAGCAGGAGCTGAACAGACCCACAGGAAGAATCCTCAAACTTTAGAAAGAAATTAGTACTAAAACCCACTCAACTTGAAGGAACCACTGGAGCAGAGAATGATTACTCAAGGCAAATGAACTCTCATATGGGTACTCCGGAAATCAAAATAATAGTGCTGGGGGGAAAAAGACTTCAATAATTATTAGAAATTTCCAAATATGCAGTATATATATTACTTAAGTTCTTAGAAGTTTTTTATCTGGACTCAAAGTCCAGTCTAAATGTGTTCAGCCACATCCAAGGACAGAATCTTTTGTTTACTCTTACACACATATTTAGTTTTGTTACTGGAGTCTATTCTTTATAGAACCCAAAATATTAAAAATTAAAATAAACACTACAGAAGCATTTTAGGTATAAAAAGAAAAAAAATTAAAATTTCTTTTTTATTTAAGAAATTAAAATGCCTCAAAAGCAGTAATGTACCTGTACAAGAGTACTTGTATCACCAAGCTAAAAAGACGATCCTGATTTTATCGGAAATGGGCAGTTTTTACATACTCAGAGTTGACTTCAAAGAAGACCCTGTCAGTGGAATAAGCACACATTACTCTTCTGTGAAATCCTACAAGAACAGAGATGGCAGTGAGACCATGATTTAAAGGTCAAGTTTATATTTTTAAAGCAGCATTTTAGAACAGCAAAAAGCAAATCCTTCACGCGACGCTTAAGCATGCCATGTTGTACTTGGGTTTAGAGCAAGCCAGATTAGCACCACATATTCATATACTCAAAGGAGATACATGTGACAAAAAGAATGCACACAATACAGTATCAGAAATGAGGAAAAGCTGATCATAGCAAGAGTTATAGTAAAGGCAAGAGGTGAAAAAGAATTATGTATAGTTGCTCTCAAAAGAAACGTGAGACCCATTTATCTGTGCGCCCAAAATACTATGCAATCTAAGAGACTTGGGGGAAAATCTGTTGAGAAGACATCAAAATACAGTGTTACTGGACACCTCTAGGAATGTTATGATTGCAATCTTATACATTTTTGTACATTTTTAATGTACATGTTAATATAAGTGAAACATCTTCATTTTTCAAAGGCCAGAGTTACACCAATCACAGGCTTTTCCTCACTGGGTTTGTTTCTTGGCTCTTGCTACATATACTTTGATTAGAGAGTTTTTAATTACACTTTAGCCTGTTAGCACCATGGGGCCAATAAAACTAAGAGAAATAGAACTAAATTCTTTTCATTCAACACAATTGGTAACTAAACACCAATTAATTACACCCACACAAGCCTAATGAAGATAATGGGGTTGCAGAGAGTTCACTGATGGTATGAAGTGGCTTGCAGTATCCTAACCTTAATCAGTTAACTACTTCGTAATAGGGAGGATCACAGGATAAGCCATCCTCTTTCTACATTCTTACAATTAATGGAAATTACATGGCCATACAGATAATTCATGTAGCGTTCACCTGATCATGAACCAAAAATGATAAATACTTCGGGGAATCCCTACTAGTATTTCAATCAATTTATTAAAAAACAGGAGTTCAGGGTTATTAAATAACCTGAGTATCAATCTGCTTCAGCTCATTGCTTTGCTAAAGGCCAAGCTGGCCAGTTTCTTTTCTTTCAGGAATGGGAGCATCCACAGCTTCTCTGGGTAACCCGTGCCAGTTCCTCACCACCCTCACAGTAAAGAATTTTTTCCTAATATCTAATCTAAATCTACCCTCTTTCAGTTCAAAGCCATTACCCTTTGTCCTATCACTACATGCACTTGTACCTCTCTGTCATTCTCGTGGGGGCCCCCTTTGGGTACTGGAAGGAGCTCTAAGGTTTCTGGGTACTGGAAGGAGCTCTAAGGTTTCCCTGGAGTCTTCTTTTCTCCAGGCCAAAAACGTCCAGCTCTCTCAGCCTGTGTCCATAGCAGAGGCGCTCCAGCCCTCTGAGCATCTTCATTGCCCTCCTCTGAACTCCTTTCAAGAAGGCCCACATCCTTCTCATGGTGGGGCCCCCAGACCTGGATGTAGTGTTCCAGGTAGGATCTCACAAAAAAGGAGTTAAGGGGGAGAATCACCTCCCTTGACCTGCATGACTTCTCAAATATGATTGATAGTGGCTTAGCTACTTGATCCACAGGTTCCCTCAGGACTCACAGGTGCATTTCACCACGTCCCATGCACTTGTGCACCTGCAAGTTCCTTAGATGTTCCTGAACGTCTCTTACAGTGGCCAGTCTTCATTCTCTCAGTCCCTGACTTTTCCTTTTGCAACTTGGGTGTTGCAGCTTGAGCACTTGCCAGTGAACACAGAGGCAAAAAAATTGTGAAGTACCTGAGCCTCCTCCATATCCTGGGCAACCAGTTCCGCTGTTTCCTTCCAGAGAAGGCCAACATTTACCCTAGTCTTCATCTTATCACCGCCATATTCCTTCACAATGCGTTTTATTTAGAGCCCTTTAGAAGGCAAAAGGTGGGAAACTGGTCTAGAGACCCTTGAAATGTATCAGAAGGTACAGCTCCTGTGATGGGTTGCATTACCTAGTGTGTGATCAGCACACAACAGCACTGTCACCTCTAGAGGTCTGTTCTTCCAGGACTATTTAATTAAACCAGAGCTTTCTGAGGCAAGCCTGTGCATGTGACACGGATCTGGCACTATTTGACTGCTGCCACCCAGCCCTCCGACTGCACAAGCCCCTCCTGAGCAGTTAGGAGCTCAAAGGGCAGCCACCCACCACGTTAACTCCTTCTGAAGAAAATCTAATGAGGTACTTGCTGCCCACTGTCCTCAAAGGAAGGCGAAGTGTCAGTTTAGAAACTTCTTCCAAGGAAAAGAGGGTTTAACTCTCTGGAGAGGTACTGTACTATTTCTGAAGGATGTGAAAGGAGAAGAAAATGATTCTGTAGGGATTTTTCTTCATTATCACCCCACCTGGAGAAGTGAGCACACAATGAGCAGAGGTCCACACATATTGATTTTAGAGCAGGGGAAGTGTGCAGCTAACAGCTTTTTAAGTATCTCCATTTTCAGTTACTCCAACAAAATTACCGATGAACAATGTAACAAAGTGAAAGTTTTGTAGGAAATTGCAGATTTAAAAAAAAAAAAACAAAACAAACCCACAACCATTTAGGCTGGGAAATGTTTCTTTTCATTGAAAGTAAAGAGCTTTTAAACGCACGAGTTACTGACGCGTTTGGCAGCGTTAGACACTTCCCAAACCATACTCCTTCTCTCTTTCAGGCGATAATTTTATACAGTTTTGTTGCATGGTGACTTTTTAAATCGAGGAGCGCCTGCTCGCGGCATCCTTGGAAGGCCCTGACCGGGCTCTGAGGGAAGCGCGAGCACCGCACGGTGTGGAGGAACCAAAGCGGACCAGGGCCAAACAAAGCCCGGTCCCGCTGGGTCGGGGGGTTGTTCCCGGACGGCTGGGCGAGAGCAGAGCCCTCGGGGTCGGGCACGGCACCCTGGGAGGCCGCTGTGCCCCTGAGGGAGCGGCGGGAAGCGAGGGAAGGAAGGGCGGCGCTCCCCGGAGCGTTGCCCGGCAGCGGCGGCGGCCCCGCCATGGAGGCGGGCGGGCGGCGGGCGCGGCGGCGGGAGGCGGCCGAGTACTACCGAGGGCAGCGAGTGCCGGAGCGCATGGAGGAGGCGCTGAACGCCCTGTTCCCGCTGAGCCCCGGGGATCTCTACGGGGAGCTGGTAGCGCCGGGAGGGGCAGCGCCTGGAGGGGGCCGGGGGGGCTGTGCCGGCCCCGCGTCAGGGCGAGGGCGGCGCGGGGGGGCCGTGAGGGGCCCGCAGTGCCCGACCCCGTCCCCGCCGTCCCCGCCCTCCGGGAAGGGGCGCAGCGAGGAGCTCGACGTCTCTGTGATAAGGAAGTGGTTCCCCCCGACTGCGGTGTTTCGGTGTTTGTGGTCAGGGGCACTCTGACGCCGGGCCAAGCAGCAGCCGGGCCCCTTGCCGGTTGCTTGTCTCGACACGTGGTCTGGTAACCGCGGCGGTGTTGGGTCGAGGGTTGGACTTGATGTCATCTCAGAGGCCCTTCCCAACCCGGCTGATTCTATGATTCTGTGAAAACAAAGTGGGAGGGCACAAATGGACATAGCTAATAAAACCGCTGCTCAGCACAGTGGTGTCTCTCCTGGGCCAGCAAGAGACTGGGCGCTGTTCAGCTGCAGCTGTTGATGAAAGGGAAATGGGCCCTCAGGGGAAGTGTCGAGAGTCACACCCATTTTATCTGTTCCCGGTTGGCCAAATATTGTTGACAGTAGTCATAATGAAACCTCAGTTAGTGGCAATACAAGAATTGCCAACGCTACAATAGCAAGCAACTCTTGAAAAAAATGGTTTCTAGTATGTTGTTTAGTGGGAAAGTGTCAGTGGAATTGAAACATTTCATTCCGTCTTTTGCTATTTCCCATCTAGTGTTTTGCTATCGCCAGTGGAAGGGACTAGAACTGGTAACACCTTTTCTTGCTCTGCCTGGTTGTTGACATGTTCCTTTTCTATGTAGCTATAAGAGTTTCCAGTTTTTCCCATTTGGTAAGTCATGGTTTGGTGACTCTCCAATACCAGACTAAATAATGAAACTAGTAAGGAAGAATGTAGTAAACCTCAAGTAGCGACTTAATCAATTTTCTAAAGCAACATTATATTACCTATGGACAGAGGTGAAAATATATTGGATTATGACAGTTCATCAGACCCATTAAAGACCATGTTGGAAGAAGACAGTGAACTGCCTACCAGAAGTCTCGGTTTTCACCTTTCTCACAGGGCTCAAAACTTGCTGTAACATATGAACCATAGAATCATAGAATATACTGAGTTGGAAGCGACCCATAATGGATTTGTTCAGTGGTGGATTTGACTGAAATATATTTCATGGAATAAAAACCTCTTTGCCTGGAAATTGACTTTTAATGAAGTTCTTTCTCTTTCATTTAAGGCTAACTACCTTTCTAAATATTCAAAAGCTCCAGTAATACGCAAATTAGTTGGAAGAAAAGTTCTCGATGGAGTTGGTCAGCCAACATTAGAAGTGGAAATATACTGTACAGTTAAAAACTATGAGAAGGTATGAGCTGTTCCTGTTTTATTTATTTGAATAGGACAATATCAGGAAGAGGTACTATTCTCACATCCCAAGGAACATTTTATTTTCCATCTTCATGAGGAGATATAAATCCCTGTGACTCAAGAGTTGAGTATTGTAACTTAGAAAAAAAAGGTGTCCTGAAAAGTTAGACAGTGGCAGCAACTATGAAAATTTTCTTTTCCATGAATTAGGCAATATTTTATGAGTGGGATATGAGTGCATCTTTGTATATTAAGTTTTTATCTGTCTTCATGTAGCTTTTCCTTACACCCCTTACTAGCCTTGTAAGTTCGTTTTCCTTTTACCTTTTTCTTTAATTTTCTTATCTTTATATTTCTCTTTGTGTGACAGTCTTTCAGAAAAACACAGCACAGGTGAAAAGCACAGTATAAGTGAAGGCACTTTTTTTACACCAAGCTAATAGGTTGATGTGGGTGATAGTTAAGTCAAACATATCTCTCCAGCACCTGCAATGCAAAATTGGTGGTGCATCTCTCCCCCAACCTGAAATATTCAAGTTAATGTCTTTGCAGCTGTAGCTATTTTGGAGTAATTATTTCTGCTTTCCCTCAGTTAAACTATGGTTCCCTTCTTTCTTGAATTAAATGTAGCTTCACAGGTATTCACAGTGTATAAAGTTAATACTATTAATGCAGGCAACTCTGTGAAATTTGTAAATGATGTCTTCCTTAAGTGAATTCTTTTAATATCATTTATTCTTCATCAGTACAGAAAGATGAGCTTAAATTATCTAAGACAACAGTAATTGACCATGAGGGATAGCATTAAGCATGAATGCTGATGAATCATGGTACAGTAGGCTACAAACAGCTGCAATAAAAGATGTCCTAATGACTATGGTCCTTAAAATAACTCCATTCTATTCTAATAGCATAATAAATATATAAAGAGATCTGTCAGAAGATTTTTGCCTACGTACTTATAATTTAGATCAAAAAACTTGAATAATGTCTGTGATTACCAAAGTATAAGAGGCTAGAAAGAAGATACAGGATGAAAAAAGGTAAGTGGAGCAAGCAGTAGATTTGGAGATATGTACTTGTAGAGTTGGTAAGGACATATACTTCTTAGTCTTTCAAATGACATTTCAAAGTTACAAATTAAATAGTGTTTAAAACCTTTATACATATGCGGTTTTTTTAAATTATTATTTATGCAGAGGATTTGTTCCACTGTAATGTCTTGCCATTCTCAAATACCTGAAAATGCTTTACCTGAAAAAATTGAAGCTGATGAAAAAGAAAGAAATGACTCTGTTAATACTGCTGTGGACTGGGTCAATGAGTCACTCAACACAATGCTGAGGGACTTGGAGCCTGCTGACCAGTGTCAAGTTGATAAGATGCTTGGGTAGGTCTTGCATATTACGCAAATTAATGCATTTGAAATATACAAATAATTTATATAAAATACAATTTATATAATTTTATATTGTATTATTTATGTATCTAATTTTATATATAATACAATTTATATGTGTAATTTATATTATTTGTATTGTTAATGGAAAGCATATAGAATATTTAGTGTTTTCTACTATTATTTTTTATATTTTTAGGTGGTAACATATGTCTCAGATCCATTGCACTATATTATTGTCTGCTTGTTTCATAATTTTGATATGAAAATCGTGCTGGTTTTTACAAGGTTTCATCCATGGGATACAAAAATAAGGGTGTCTAAGAAAAAAATACCTGAACACATTCATGAGTCAAAGGCAACATTTAAGAAATTCGTTCAGTGCCAGTTTAATTTAGTAGGGAGGTTTTTTCAAACTGCAACTCCACTTCTGTTTATGGCCCTGCAAAAGGCAAGTGGTGCAAATGGCCTGGGTGTGAGTCTGCTGCATTGAGCTAATCCACAAAAGCATGTATATGTGTGCAGCTTTCACGTCCTGGTGGAGCTTTCTTTCTGAGCAAGCTGCTCCAGAAGACATCTTACTAGGGTAATTAGTTTCTTTGGAAATACAGTTTCTCTAATAAACATCCATGTTTATTTTTCATATAAATATTTCTTCTTGAGAGCATCCCAAAGTAAAAAACAACAGCCATATTTATCCATTTAAAGAAATGTCTGGCTTTTATAAAAAAAAAAATATATAAGGTAAAAGTATCACAGATGGATTTGAATGTATTTTTAAAGTACACTTAGAAGAAGCCACCTGGCAACAGTATGGCTGTCTGCACCCTGGCAGCACTAATATGGCCTCACATCCTCTTCTGGAGTTGGAAATGTTCCCTTCAGCTGCACCCCTGAGGGAAATGACCCTGTGTGGAAGGGGTAGAGGTTGGGCTGCCACACTGAACACAGACTGTATTGAACAGACCTAATTGCCTTCCACATGGACTAGCTTTGGGAAAACCTTGATGAAGGGAATAAGGACTCAATTGGAAAGTGAGTGTAAATAAGATTTTAATGCATTGTTTACACTACATATCTTACATACTCAGTTTGCCTGAATTGGCTGTCTGTGACCCCTGGATAAAGTTTCCAGTTCGTGCATGTAATTGAAATTCAGCCACCTCTTAGTTTGCAACCACTTGAATAACCAGTGTACAACTGAGCTCTTGGATTAGCAACCTCGGCCAGGCTGTTGTATGTCAGGAAGTTATGCCAGGGTCTGTTACTGCCCACGCAAAGCAAATACATCTTTCATGCTAAGATTGTCTGCTCAGAGCTGACTTTCAAACCAGTGTGATTTTAAAAGCATGTGTTAAGGTTTGTGATACTTACTTGTGGTTCTTTTTGTTTAACCAGTCCTGCAGATGACTACCAAAAAATAATGATGTAATAAATGTACTGACCTCTCCAGCTTCACGTAGTGAACCAATGGCAGAAGCTCAAATAGATGCACTTAATCCACTTCCTAGCATGTTCTTTAGCTTGTACTGTGTGTGTCTACTTGTCACATGTCTAACAATATTTTAAGCTAGTAATTTTTATGCCTCTTCCCTCAGTGAATACTTTACAAACAAGGTAGAAGAAAAAAAGAAAATTCAAAGGCAAGAAGAAGAAGAAGAAGAAGAAGCAGAAGCCACTCTTGCCCTTCCTCCACGGACTCCATCCCCAGCAACACCACCTGGGAAAAAAAAATCAGCAAAACCAGGTTTTTGTTTATTTTATTTTAATGTTTTCTGCAATACAGATATTGATAAATGTCCTAAACAACTTTCTGATGTATTCTGTGGACATGGGATAATTCAGAACACATGCCACACTGTCTCATGTTCAAAGGGTTTGGTTACTCTCTCCTGCCCTTTTTGATCACAACAGTTTCTGCAGCAAAATGAGGGAGGGAAAAATACGGTTTTCTCATCATTCACATGCATTGGTTGAACCGAGTTTCTGCCTTTGTTTTACAGTTGGCTTAGACAGGAGGTTATTACTCTTCCAAGTGAGGAATAGGAATGGAGGAGGATGCAAATGAAGAATAAAAATGAAAATGATAAGAAAATAGAAATAGAATTAAGATAAGTTGAAAACAATTGAAAGAGGGAGGAAGGAAGGTTTCCTTCTAACACTGAGAAAAGGAGGAAATACAGTGAAAAGCAAAAGAGAAAGAAGGAAGGGGATGAGATGGGAATGATGGGCAGTATGGAGTAAAAAGAAGTAAGAAAACAATCCTACTAAAGGAAAAAATGGTGGGAGACTAGAAAAAGAAGGTAAAAACACATGGCCAAAAAAAAAACAATCCAAAGGAAGAAAGCACCATATGTTATCTCCATATATGCATTAAACTCAAAAAAAAAAGTCTTGTTGCCATTTATTATAAGGGCAGAAAATGTTTGCATATTATTATTTGTTATCACTTTGGTTATAACTGTCATATGCTATCAGTAAAACCTCCCAGTTCATATGTTAGATGTGTGCACAGTAAGTTCATCTTTGACCTGAAGTGTAACTTCTGCAGTTGTCAGGTCCACCCACATGTTAGCCTGGTGTATATTACACTTTCAGTCAAGCTTCTGCTGATACATATATTACTTGTTTTCACTAATTATGACATGGACTGTCATATTATTATTAGACTCAGTGCCTGACTATTTGGAGCCAATGGTTATTAAGCTACTTGTTGTTACAGGAGACCACTAACAGATGGTGACTTCCAGCAGGTTCCTTCAGAAGGAACATCTATGTTGTGGTTTATGCCAGTTACAAAGTAGTGTAGGCTGAAGGGTCTCTGAAAAACTCTGCTCTGTGTCAGAGTTGCTCTGATGTCTGTGTGCAGCTCTTCATCCTCAATGTAAAAGGTATAGAATCTGTGCATAGTATGCAAAAGATGTATAATCTAATCTGCATATCCAATTAAGGACACATTAAGAACATTTTCTCCTAAAATGTCAGTTGTATGCTGTAGTATTTATATTTTACTGAAATTAGAATTTGTATGACACTCCTATTAGGATCCAAAGGAAAGTCAGGTTTACTTGGGAATCAGACCACTTATTGCAGCTTCACGTAGGTGCTCACTGTACCTGTTCATGTAAGAACTGTAGGCAATAAAGAGGATGGTGAGAAGTGCTTTGTTTTAAGCATTTTTGGAAAAAGTTACTGTATCTGAAAGGGAAATAAATTCTTATGAAAATGTGATAAGACTATGGATGTGTAATATTTAAAAGATCTGTTTTCTCTTTGGAAATTCCAGCTGAAATAGGCCTAATCTTTTTTCACAGTCATCATTAGAAGAAATCAATTATGCATGCTCCCAATAGGTTATAATGTAGTCTTCCAAGTTGTTTATGCAAAAGCTGAGAATTGAAGGAGCACAATAAAGAAGACTGAAAACATGCTTTTGAAAGGAACCTGAAAAATTATATAATGTTATTGGATGTAAACATAGATAAATAAAAATACAGATTTCAGTGTCTGAAAGTTCTCCAAAAGACACAGAATTGAAATAAATTTGAAACCAGAGCGAGGACAGACACTTTGCTTACTTGTAAGGTCATTCCATATAAAACAACTGACAAGATGAAATTTAAAAAAAAAAAGTTATTATTTGTTAATACATTGAGTACACCCTGAAATGACAATATCGTATTTACTCATATAACTGTGATACAGAAGCATGTGTTTAAAAACAAGAAAATACTTAGCTGCTACTCTCTGTCTTGTAGGAAAGAAGTCATCAGTGGCAGAGAGACCCATCCCCCCTGCAGAACCTGCTGAGCCCGTGCTGTGTGGCAGCTTGGCCATTGGGGGAACATCCCTTGCCATAGCAAAGGCTGGGGCCACCATCAGCCACATCCCGCTGTACTCTCATATTGCACTGCTGAAACATGAGCAGGTACATGTGGCTTTTGCCAGTTTGTTTCTTTTATCCCAGTTATCATAGCTGTTGAATTCTGAAGCCAGCAGTGCCTCATGACAGTGTCATTAAATTTATCTCATAGAATACACCCTTAACACCATTGCCTGTAGCAGTCTTTGAACCTTGTGCCATAATTAAAATATATAAGAATTGTTTTGATTTTTACATTTTTATTTTCACCCGGTAGTCCCAATTACAGGAGTCACCTGAAGAAATGACTCTACCACTCCCAATGGTTACTCTGCTGAACTGTGAAAAAATGTCACCTTCAAAGCTGAAATTAGTGAAAGAAGTTATGGTTATACCACCAGTTCAGTTGTCACTCAAACAGGTACTGTTTCATTTTTGGTTTTTTATAAATGTGTTCTACAGACACCATACTAACTATGTGTGTAAATAAGTATATAGGTCTTTTCAATATAGTCCTTAGAAACTGTATTTTTTATTTTTTTGTTTGCTTGCAAGGCCAAAGTTTTAACAAATGCTAAATTTGTCAAATTTGCAGAATTCTAACACAAATAATATTAAATCAAGCAAAAAGATGAAGATTTAAAACAAAACCCAGAAATATTTCAAGTTAAAAATGTATATTAGTATAGAGGTAAAAGTCAGTGCGTTGGAGAAGATGTTAGGGAATTGTGTTACAGAACAAGAGATTAGGATGTGATTTTACATTAGTAGGTTATAAATAGTATCAGTTGATTGATATAGCGTACAAAACAACAAAACTCAACAAATTCACAGGAAAGCAAAAAATGTGTGGAAATAAGTTGCTTTAAAATGAAATTGTGAAGATAGAAGGGAGTACAAAGAGCAAGAAGGATGGGTGAGACAGATGGATCAACCCTCTCTGTTTAGCCATGTGTTGTATTAAAGAATATATTGGCACGGGATGCTTCATTAGGGCCGTGATTTCTGCTTTGTATGCTGGTGACCTGAACAAGTACCTGAGCTCGATTCTCTTTCTTTTTGCTTTTCCTTTAACTTTTTCGAATTGTCACCAAGAGCTGTTAATAAGGTTGCTAATTCTGTGCCATTCAAAGCCAGAATGCCTCCTAGCGCTCAGGGGAGGGTAACAAGCTGTTTGCTGCCGTTCAAAACAGCCTGTTCCTCCCGTGTTGATGTGTTGTCAGCTGTGACTGACTTCTGCCCCCTTCAGTATTCCTCTACTGGCACAGTTTGAGGAAATCTCAATTGTGATTTACCGAGTTTTACTGAATTTTACTAACTCAGCTGAAAAAGAAAACGAGTCTTGCATTAAAAGCAATGGATTCATTTAACTGGAGTGTTCCCCACTGTTTAAAAATTAAGAAAGTGATTTTTTTCGTGCTTCCTGGAAATATTCTGAAGTAAATGCATTCAATCTTCTCAGAATTTCGTTAGGAAGTCTTAGAGTCACAATTGTGAACAGGGATTATCATCTTCTCAGATGTTATGCAGACCTGGATGCTGTTTACTTGCTAGATTTGGGAAGGGCTACATTTGGGGAAGAGACTGCTTTTCTTGCTCTCCCATTCAGCAGCATGACCAAATATTCCTGTTCATTCCACTGCTACTAACCCTTTATGGCTGGGCACTTGGCTGCATTTTGTGAGTGGAGAGACTGTGTTAAGGAGTCTGTAATAGTTGTGTTTTGGTTTTTTTTTAAGACTTTATATTAAGATTTGTATTTAGAATAAGTGTTTTCTGATTTAAGCTGCTAAAATGAAATAATATAACTTTATTTTAAAGATTATTGTTGTTTAATTTCAGGGCATAGAAAGAGTTCTGGATATTCAGAAGGAAATGACAAGACTGTTGGAGTCTCCAGGCAAAATGGTACAATAAAAATGTGTACTAATAAAGTGATATACTTCATTTGATCTGCTACTACTGTCCTTTTAAACATAAACATGGAACACTTAGCTTTTATATGTCATGACACAGAACAGAAGATGTGTTTCTCTGGCAGATGAGTAAAGCATTGGCCATTTGGTGATACTACATTAGAAAATATAGAATAAAACATTGTTCTAAGCATAGTAAGACTTTCTGTTTACCTGAAGAAATATACTGGAAGTGAATCATATTGGAATGAATGTACAATATATATGGTTCTGATCTTGCTATGCCTCTCACACACAACATGTTTTATTCAAGGTACTGTTACTGTAGCAGTATATCAGTCTTGGTGTGTGCATATGCTTTTTAGAAAGCAAGGTTGTTGGGTTTCTCCAAGTGCAGTCTAGATTCTCATTTCTGAGATTCCCTGTGTTTTTGATGGGCTGGGTGAGAATGTTTTGAAAAACAAATGATGGTTGGACTGATGCTCACATAGAAATAAACATTTGAAATGAGTCACCAGCACAAAATAAAACTGGATAGTTGCTGATAGTATTTAAGACTAAATAGGAGTTATTTCCTAGCTTAAATATTTGTAATCTCTTTAGACCAAAATTCAGTCAATCTTTTTTTTTTTATTTCCTTTTTTTCCTGAGGTCTTTCTGTCATCTTTGTATTTTTCCATGGAATTGATTTCTTTCTTCTTTCACCCTCAACAGCCTGGTCCTCAACCAGCAGACGGTAAAAAAGGAAGAGCACAAAATTCAGGGAAGAAAAGTCTGGTAAGAAATGAGATTTTCATTTTAAGCCTTCAACAAGGTATGCACAACAGCAGAGAACCAAAATATTCTTAAGAAATTAAGCGTTAATCTACATCACCATTTTGGAAAGGTCAAGGCAAGACCTAAATATTCCAAATGCTCATATCTTACATAATAATTTAGATCCTTCTGACTATACCTTCCCTTCCTGTGGAACAATAGCGGAAATAGGGGAAATTTTTCTGGGATCTGGTAATTTTTCTTATCTAGAAATCCTGGTAAATTATCCAAATGAGCATTTTGCAAGCCCATAGCACCAGCAGAGAAACATGCCCTTTTGATTATGTAGGCCATAAAACTACTACCTGTAAGACCTGCATATTGTGCTGTTTCCTAACCCCGGGAGAATAACTCCCCTCTTAATTGTGCTGCATCCAATTCCCAGTTCCAGTCTGAGGTTACAGATAATGGCAGACACAAACCAGTAGCTGAAGGGCAACACTCACAACAGAACACAGAACATTATTTTATATGACTCGAATGATCTTTTTTATCACTTCAAAACCTGTGGTTTACAGATGAGTTTTCCAAATTGTGGGATGGAAATGCCATGCAGGTTTTCTCTCCAATCTGAGATTATTAAAATATCAAGTGAGAATTGTCACTGTTGTGGAGTATACAAAAGAAAGGATGAACAAAAGTTTTTCTATTTTATTCTTGCTTACACAACACAAAATTCTTCATCATTAAGCTGCTGGCCCTAGTTAGAATAATTCCATAAGATATACACAAGGAAAAAATGCATTAGATTCTCTGGAAAAAAATCCATTTATTTCAACAAAGGAATACTAAAGGAGGTAGTAATTAAACTGAAGTTTAAACTGATAAAAGCACAAGGTTAGTTTTAACTTTTATGGGGAGAAAAAAAAGGAAAAATGACAAAGTAGGCAGTGAACAAGAACTTATTTAGGTTATAGAAGTAAATGCTAGATAGAGAAAAATGTTTTTATAAAGAGAAACAATGCTTTTAGTGGAATGTAACAAGACACAAGGTATGGATACCTTGAAAATCACCTGGAACTGCAGACTCAACCTCTATCTGAGGTTAATTGCAGGAAGACTGCAGCCTTTCTGGCTGTCTATTGCTGCAGCTTTGTGCTCCACAAGCAACAAGTCAGATTGTCTTGCATGTTGCTACAAAATAATCTCATAACAGTTTGACCTGCGCTTTCTTTCCAATTTTTATGTGAAGAAACATTCATATGTCCTCTATAGCTAAGTACCTGTTCTCTCTGTAGTTAATTCTCTAGCTCTTGTCAAAACTGATGCCTTCCAGTTGATCTCTCCAGTCTAACCCAGGATTATATATCCTGCAGCTTTCTAGGCAGCCTAATGTCATTTTTTATAATCCAAAACTCACAGACTTTAAAGTTAAAAATCAGTGTTTTAAAAACCTACAAAAACCCCTGACAACAGAAGAACATGTGAAATATTTGCTCAATACAACTCGGCTTGTTTCACATTTCCAGGAATACTGCCCCTGAAGTATAACTGCATGTAGCTGGGCTAGAGGTATTTCCCCTCTCTTAAGTTTGTTCCTTCTAGAATTCTCAGAAGATTCTAGGGTTTCTTGAACACTCCACAGAGTCAATATCAAAGTTGCAGTTGAGGATAAATGGCTAAAAGCTGTTTAAAAGTGGAGAATATGTTTTTTGGCAAAGGGGGGGGTGGTCTGCAGCACTGGAGCATTTGTGACAATTCAGTAGTTGTTAAGAGTGCCTTTAAAATCTTCTTGTAAACCAGCACTGGCCATACAGGATGAAGAACTACATGATGAGACACATTTCCAAGGACTGTTAGCTCTCTGCTCATTAGCAATTGATTATCCCTCTTTCCTAGAGAATTGTCCTTAAGGCTGCCAATGCAATTTTTGAGATTTATAATTTGAAGATTAAATGCAGACTGAAATGATAGTGAGTATATATATTATATATATGTTTGTAAATGAAGTGATTCTTTTTTGTTTTGTTTTCAGCCACAGTTCTTAAAAAGAATATCACACTTAGGTTGCCTAACAACAGGATATGATGATGTAGAACAACTGCTACTCGTTATGCAAACAGCTTGCAGCAACATAGGTCTGGAGCTAGGAACAGATGTGTACTTAGCAATAAATTGTGCTGCTCATGAATTAATGGATTATGTAAGTTATTTCTCAATATCTATTTTCTTGGGTTTCAAAAGGAACGTAGCTATTTGTTAACATTATTTATTATTGCATTGCAAACTCACCTAGAAGCTCCTAGCTCCATTTTTAAGGTACAATCAAGCAAATGAAAAGAATTACCTCTGCATTTATAAATGATGGTTGAATCAGTCCTACAAGTGTGGCAGATATGTCGTTGGACTGGGAGTGCAAGGGGATGGGACATGCAGCCTGACACAGCAGGAGCAGTGAGAACTTGTGTGTTCCTCCTTCCCAGTACCAACATCCTGGTGGTACCTTGTGAGAATAAGGCTCACTGGGCCAAGGCAGACCCCTCTTACAGCTCATGTCCTTCTACAGGGGTCTCTGGTACCTCCATGGCTTCACTTGAATCATTCAAATGGTGTAAGCCTGCCTGTATCAGCCAGGTTTATTCCTTTTCTCTATTTATTTAACACAGTTTTTCAGATCACTTTGTATCAAATATAGCAAACTGCTTTAATGGGTAAACACCTCCTGCATGCTCTGTTTAACAAACCAGCTTCATTTCACATTACACCTCAGCCAATTTGGAATTAAAGTATAAAGCAGCAAATCCTGCTTTGGTTGGTTGGTTGTTCTTTTTTTTTAATTTCACCACGAGGTATAAATTAAATAATTATATCCTATCCACCTTTATTTTAAAGATGAAGAACAAGAAATTATTTACACAAGTATACTTCTGTAATTTCTTAACACCACTAGATGCTCATTTTTCCATTATATTACACTACATCTGTTGTTTTCTTCAAACTACCCTGACATATCCATTTATTTTTTCTATGGTAAGTTTGTACACACATTAATGTTCATCTCGTTGTGTCTCAACATTCATTTTTTAATTTTTCATTTTTTAATATTTTTGACACAATTTATTTATCTCCAGATGAAGTCTTACAGTTCTTGCCCCTTGTTCCAAGATCAATCAGGGTTTTTTTTTCTAAGCAGAAAAAGAAACTTCCTATTCCATTTAATACCTCATGAGATTTTGTGTATTTGGGTGTTCTATAGTGCCAAAGATTCCATTACCAATATCTTTCTTGAAAGCAGTTGCTCTCCTGACTGTGATGTCTGTAGCTTATAACAGAGTGTACAAAATCTTAACCCTTGAATCATCAGTAATTCTGTAACTTTCACTAAAGCAGTGGGTATCGTGGCACAGTTTGACAGTTTGCCTTTAATACTCCTTCTAGGCAAGACAAAAACTTGTCTTTTTTTTTTTTTTTGAAAGGGGAAAGAGACAAGGAAAGGCAGTATCTTGGTTTTGAGCACTGAGGGTGAACTCGTTTCCCCAACAATATTTTCTTTATGAAAATAAGGACAAAAAAAAAAGACCTTTTTTGCAAGTGAAAAATGAGATTTTTTGCAAGCGAGATTCAGTGAAAAAGTCAAATATTGCTGGCTTTATGATATTGTAGTGTAGAACTGGCAGTGTTGCCTACCAAATGCTGAAAAAGGTCCCTCTGGTTTTGGCAGTGACATCGTTCAGAGACTTTGGCATGAGCCCACTGGAACCCACTGTCATTTTAAGCAGTTTTCTATAACAATGTGCTAACAACTTAGACACAGAGTGAAGCAGAGGAGTAAATGCCTCCTGACTGAAGAACACACATATCTTGTGGATGCTTACATTAGTACTCTGGTTTTTAAGCTCTTACCTTCCTTATCTTTTATGCTTTTTACTTTACTTTCTAGGACAAAGGAAAATATGAAATACTGACTGGAACTTTTAAAAGCCCTGATGAAATGGTTGCTATGTATGGAGAACTGATTGATAAATTTCCTTTTATTATTGCATTAATAGATCCCTTAAGAAAAGAGGTAAGATACCACAGTGCAGCCTGTGAAAAACTGGTAATACTGTTCAGTGGCACATCACTGATCTTTTCTCATTTTTGCAAAATATGCAGAATACAAGGCTTTTGGTTTCTTGAGTCTTTAAGCACAAAATATCACTATAAAAATGCATCTAAAAATTCATTTGCATGTCTTTTATTGACAATAACTCTACATTCTTCTATACTTTTGACTTAATTCTCGATGCAAAATAATCCTGGCCTGAACAGAATACAGTCAGTAGAAATATTTTTAAAAATTATAAAAAATTGCTTTTTTGTGTGATTCTACTTGTTAAACCACTATTATTTGGATAATGTTTTCCTTTTTATGCAAACAATTTAAATTATAAAACTATAAAATTCAAGCGTAATATAATATTTTATTATATTAAATTAGAGAAGCAAAAGTTTGGACGTGGTTGTATGTTCCTTAGAATCACCAAAAAAAAAAAAATACTGATGCAGTTCCTTCTGATGGATATTTATAACCAAAGCCAGAACAGTGCTGTCACTGGCAGCATTGCTTGGCAGAATTTTTAAAGTGGTAGTAAGATACCACGTAGTTACCTCTGTGATCAAAGTTAGAGGAATTAATTAGTCTGGTCAACCGACTACAACAATAAAATAAAATACTATTAAGCTTGTTATCAAGTTATGGATGGATGAAAGAGACAGATTGCATAACTTTAGATATTTACATTTATACATAAGATTAAGTCATGTATTGCAAAAAAGATAAAAACTTTGTTGCAGAACCTACAATTGTAGACCTAGATTCTGCAGCTGCAAAACTCAATAAAAATTTTGTTCATTTGCATGAACAAAACACGAAGACTGTGATTGAAGGGAGAAGCAAAGTGATGTTGGTTTTGTGAATCTGTCCAGTGCTTGACTCAATAACTCTAAAATGGATGAACTGCAAAATCCATCTGATTCTGTCCTTAACTAGAATGTTAAAAGTTCATTTTTCAAACATCTGCATTTACTCTTACCTTGTCTAGTTAGCCTTGCCTCCCTGTGTTGTTTCAGTCTGACTCTGAATTACCATGTTCCAAAGCATCAGATTATTCCCCACTCCTGCTGGGGCTGCAAACTTCCTTGAGAAACCTTATGAAGAAACATATTTGCAGTATGAGAGTCTGCAGGAGAATTACAGATGGGGCAGTACAGTTGGAATCAGAGAACCATGAAGGAAAATGCCTCTGCTCCTCTGCTTCTCCTCCTCCTAGCAAGTCTGCAGTTTCCCTGTGCCACGTGTTTGCCATGGATCCGTAGGTCCTTGATGATTAGCTCTGGTACCAATTCAATAATTCATTGGCAGACACGAGACCACTTTAGTGCTTAAGTTTAAACATTTGTTCAGGTGTCCAAAACTTCATTTTCACATACATACAGGCTTGAAATCTGTGCAGGAATGGACCCTGATATAGATTGCAACTAGATGGGTACAAAAGTCTGTCTGATACACAGACCAAGAATTACTACTGGCATTATTGTAATATTTTCAACTTTGCATTCTGTGGTCACAAAGCAATCAAATCATAATTTTCTTCTTTCTCATTTTTAAAATATCCCTGTCCTTTATTTATCCTGTACCATGTACCATGTGGACAGTGCATTAAAATCAAGAAACAAAGACCCTAAAAAATGGAGCTTTGCTGGAAAGAGAGCGTTGTATTCTGCTGTTCCCTATGTGTCAGTCTTACAGCTCTGATCATCCTGTCCTGATACAAGGCATTGAGTCTATGACTGTCTCCTGTTGCATTATTTTACATTCAAATAACTATGACACTTCAAATATTAACACATCTGAATAAAACAAGAGAAAATTATTTCATAGTCCATTAAAATTAAATAAATTTCAGGAAGGAAATCAAAATAGCGATCCCCCAGAGTTAATTTAATTTGAAATATTTTAAACTATATTTTGTGCAAATAGTGTTGATTCATTCCAGATTAACATATATGTTTTCTAACAAAATCTTAAAATCCAGGGAAAATTCCAGTGGTATGTTTTTCTTAGGTAGACAGATTTAAAATATAGTATAAAATATAATATTTTTATATGAAGGATATCTTTAGGATTGAACCCAAATTTATTTAATTTTCTAAAATTATTTTTACCTCCTGAGAGTTTTCATTCAGTTTAGTTTTTTAAGCTCTAGTTTTTTACTTGATTTGTTTTATGCAGGACAGAGAACAATGGAGTAACATCTGTTGTGCCCTTGGTTCCAAATGTTACCTGATTGCTGAAGATGCTGCCACATGTATTTCCAAACTTAAAACTGACCAAACCATAAACACACCAGTGTGCAGTGGTGTCGTCCTGAAATATGTTAACGAGACCAAGGTATCAGACCTCATAGAACTTACTGGAATTCTCGATGGTGAGTAGAGGGGGGAAAGGCTGCCTGTCAAACCCTACAAGCTACACCTGTAAAGATTACATTTCTTTATTTAATTATAGCCACTTCTAATTTAGAAAGCATTTGTCAGAAGAAACTGAGATTCATGTTCTGATTCACAGATGTCTGTCCAGGGGCTTAAAAACGCATTGAAGGCTTCAACTATAGTCAGTTAATGCATTGTGGATGTTTTGAACGTGGGTGCCCTTTGACACTGCAGCTAAGTTTTACACAGTTAGATATCAGAATTAAAGAAAATAAAAAAGATGTGGTCAATTAACCTGAATTTTGAATATTACTAGTATTTTTAATTTAAAAATCCAAACAAGTCCAAAATGTTTAAAATTGTGGTTTATGCAGATTATTGACTACAAATTATTGAGCCTTCATGGTAACAGTACTAAGAACTTGTGCAGTTTCCTATGTAAGATTTTTCTTTGTATCACTTTTTCTTTACTCATTTTATACCCAAGGGATAGGTGAACAAATTTAATACATCTAATCTCTTTCCTTATTCCTTAAAAACACCCGGAATCACTATATCAAAGAGAGTAAGTAGCAACTAAAAGATTTCATTCAGTCAGAATTGTAAACTCTTTTTTACAGTGAAGAAAAATCATTACTATATTGAGGAGCACATTTAAAATAAATAGAACAGCCTTCTAGCCTGATCAGACAGATCGGTGAGAGACAGAAACTAGGAGAGGATATTCCCTTATCCATGCTGAAAATAAAGCACAATGTTAATGCAGCAAACTAATATCGCTTACATTTTTATGAAATGGGTTTCACTGGTTTACTCCTGCCCGTATTTAAGCTTAGACAACCCCAGGGTAAAAAATGAATGAGAAGTCCAAACAGTTTCTGTGTTGAATCTATAAAATATACGCTACTGAAAGTTTTCACTCCCGTTATTTATAGGTCAGAGACATATTACCATATTAGGAAGCCCAGATGGAGAATCTTCTGATGACAGCCTCGTGGATCTGGTAGGTATTGAAAGCTGTTCAATTGCAGAATTGCCAAAATACTGCTTTTAACATGTACAATTTTTTAAGGAGAAAGCCTTTTTGTGCTTCAGAAAGAAACAATGTTTTACAAAACGGGCTTTTTCTAGAGAGTTGGTTTTTTTCCTCACAGAGAGTTACTGAGTTTAAAGAGAAGGCGCAGGAAATTTGCCAAGGCGGGGAGTATATTCAAGAGTGTGTATGATCTGTTTGGTTGCATTAGTTTATAAAAAATTGTGAGTTACTTAAAACATTCCTGTGTAGTAATAATATTTTTAGCAAAAATTCTTAACACTATTATATTTAGTCTTTTTGTACTAAAGCTACATTTGCAAATAAAATTTCATTTCATATGCCAGTGAAAATTATTGTTTGCACCCGGCAAATCTTTAATTAAGAGATTTTATTGCGGGGTTTTTCTCTGTAGAAAGATGAGGGTGTTAAATTAGAAGTAGGATACCATGTTCAATAATTTAAAAATCACTTCCCAAACTGTGGGGTTTTAAAATGCACACTTTCTCATTTCAGGCCGTTGGACTGGGTGCCAGGTTTATCAAGTTGGGAGGTCTTTCCCGCGGAGAAAGGGTGACCAAATACAACCGCCTTCTGGCTATAGAGGAAGAACTGGCCAAGAATAGAAATCTACGTATGAGCTTCTTTCTTACTTTGTTTTCAGCCTGCAATGAATACGGGAACAAAGATTGGAGGGAGAATGATTGAAACTGCACCACAGGAGGGAAGTGAAATCAAAAGCCTATAAATAAGGGCTGACAAAAAAAACCTAGGATAGCACTTGCCACAATGTATATTGTTGTCCTAATGGATTATCTGTTTACTGAATGTTAAAATAGACCCCTTCTTGAGGAGTAGCCTACATTAGGCTTTTTTTGCAGAATTAATTGGTTGAAATCTTGAAGCCCACAGTGCAAAAGGAACAAAACAAAACCCATGCATATAACATGTAGAAAAGCTGCCAAAATGGAATTTTAGGCCAAATACCCCACCTCCCTCAAGCCCCTAAACATATATTGCTAACAAAACTTCGTTTCACAACTCTCTTTTGTATGTTACATTTCCAGCAAAATGTGTTTGGAAAACTACAATTGCATGGGTAAGCCCTAAATAAAACCCCAAAAAAACCGAAGTTGACGATGCACATTCAGCCTTAGCCACTTGTATGCATCTGCCTGCCTGCATTTCAGGGTCTGCATCTTCTTTTTACACTGTACCACGGCACTGTTAAATGCTTAACAGTTCATTAGAGCCACTTCTCACTTGCTCAGGTATCAATCAAGCTAGAATAAAGAAATGCAGTCTGAAGGGGAGGCAGAGACACGAGGAGAGGAAGAAAGGAAGGATAGGGTTTGCAAGAATTTTATTAAGCCCAAGAAAAAGAAACATGAAGGAGAACGAAGTCATTTTACTCTCTTGCTTCTAATAATTTTCAGTGCTCTATACAAAGGGTAGCAGCACTTGACATGCACACTACAGAACAAAGGTTTCAGTTGAAAGTTGTTTTATTGAAAATATTTTGAGGTTTTTGAAATCTCTCCCTTGCTCATAAATAACCGTTGTGAAAAATAGAAACATAGACAGGAATTTTTTTTTTTTGCTAAGGAAGTATTTGCACAGAATGCACTTTTCTAAGTACAGAACTATGAATTTTAACTGCCTCGGCAATATTAATATATTCCCTACTGTTGTCTAAGCAAAGGAGCTCGAGTCTGACAAATATTTAGACCTGTATCTCATGAAATAAAATAGCAACAGTCCCCAACAGCGTTAATGGTTTGGCAGAACCAAAACCCGGTAAGTAAATCCCCAGCAGGGCAGTGGTGCGGTAGCGCGTCTGAGCCGCCCCCCGAGCTCTCCTTTGGCGGGGCTGCGGGCCGGGAGCGCTGCAGAGTGTGCGGGACGGCTCCCAGGGCTCGTCCTGAGAGGTCACACCGACCCGCCGGGAGTCCCTCGGGAGTGCGGGGGGGCTGCACTGCCCTGGAGCACCCACTGCGGCTCTCCCGCTGCCTTCCCTGCCCTGCAGTCCCGGGGGTGTGCAGAGCTCAGCGATGATGGGCCACCACCCTCACCTGGATGGGTGTGCAGAGCTCAGCGATGATGGGCCACCACCCTCACCTGGATGGGTGTGCGAGCTGCTGGATCACAGACCTGCCTTCCCTTCCCTGCAGTCACACAGAGGGAGGGGGGTCGTTGTGCCTGTGGCCGAAAGCGAGTGGGGCGGTGAGGTTAGGGAAGCAGGAGAACAGACCTGGGGAAAACAGCGGTTAGTGGCAGTGACTGTGAACTGTAGTCACGGGGTCAGCATCGGGACATGGGCTTACATAAGATTGTTAAAGGCTGGGGTAGAGAAGGGCAGAGTCAGCTGGGGGGAACTTTGGCACGAGCACCTGTGCAGAGGAGGATGGATGTTCAAAAAATAGGGCAGCAAGGTAAGGAACCCATGAAGGAAGGAATGCAATAAATATCCCAGCTCAGGCTGCTGTGCACCATGCCCTGATCCTGTAAGCAAAGTGCAGGACTGGTGCTCCTTTCTTTCTAAGGACCAGATTATTAAACCTGTTTAAACTCCTGTAAGCATCGTGTGGCATCTTAAAAACATCTGTGTACACCAGAGAATGTAACAAGAAACCAGATTACACCAAACACAAGTTTCTTTTTTCTCTTCTGTTTCAGGTGAAAGAAAACTTGAATTTGTTGCGTTCGCTGAAGAATCACAGCCAGAAAATCAACTTTCTGATGAACTTCCTCCCCCAGAGCAGGATTAGTTGCCTCCACAGCTCTTGCAGGTTCACAGCCTGCCTGCTCAGCTCCCAGAGAACAGCACACTGACCCCAGCTGTCAACATTAGCTTTAGGATAAATTTCTAAGAAAAAATATTCTAGTCAGAAACTCATATAACTATTCCTTAATCCATTTATTTTCATTCTAGTATGAAATTCATATATTAACTTTTCTTTAATCCATTTATTTTCAAGCACTTTAGCCAAACATTTCTAAAAGCTTTCAAATAGTGGCCTCTCTTTTCCCAGGGACCATTGCCTTCAGCTGAAACCAAGTTAACTGAGCAGTGACTACAGTTTGAAAACACCACACAATTCTCTGCTGTGTTTACAAACTGACCAAACAAACTGTGCTGTGTTAAGTCCAAAGCTAAATGTTTGTTTTGGGGAAGTGGAAATGTTTCTCTATACAATGAGCAAGCTGTTGACAAACAGTAAAAAAAAACCTCACCACATTTTACAAAAAACAAAGGCCTTGACTGTTGTGCTGCTCCATCCCCCCACACCCTCAGTGCTGCTGTTAGACTCCAGCTGGAGCATCAACACAAGTGCATCACTGCAAGCCCCAAATGTAGGGCACGAAGCTGGAACCGGCATCACTCGGAAGAAGGGAGTAACAAGTCAATTCCACAAGGTCTGGGAAACTTGTCAGGAGTCTTTTTAATAAGCAACAATGAAAAGTTAAAGAAATAATTTATGCCCTAGGTAACAAAACAGTTTAAGAAAAAGAAATACTTCTTGAAAAAACTTCTGGTTTTTGTATAAAGTGAAAATTTGAACATATAATACAGCAGCAATAATTTGAGGAAAAATACATATATGAAATGTTGCATTTTAAATTCACTGTAACAGATAACTGGCAAATTAACAACCAGAACCAACGGCCCCCAAGAAATGAAAACATCAATGAGAGACAGATTTCCCCAAGTTTATGAATTGTATGTAGTTCAGTACTTAGATCGAGTCCAAGATTTTCTTAGCAAACATGCAAAACCCACCGAAATAGATGTGAAACCACCACACTCATTACTATCATTTTATTTTTAGGAAAAGCACCAGACAGTTGCATGCAGAGCCAAACCAACAAACTCAGAACATTCATCCTTCAATACTATCACTGTTTCAAATAATTAAATAAAAAAAGAATCCAAGTGCATTCAAGTACGTGACCACCCAATTCCAGTTACACCAATCTTTAGGTAAATCCCTGATTACATTTGTTCATTCATTATAAAAGAATGAGATACTGTGTTGAATTTAAAAAGAGACTACAGTGGAATGTGAACTGGCAGTGGAGCAAATCAATCATGTTCCTATCTCACTGTCTTCATAGGAAATAAGGGCTGAGGGAAACTGGGATTTCTGTTATCAAATACAGATATCTCGAGTGTCACCTAATAAATTATTGCCATCAGTGTGTGCCAGGTTCAAAGCAGGGGCTAATTTGTTAGCACTGGGAGCTTTCAACTGAGAGTTCTCAAAATGTTGATTCCAAATATTACGACTGAATCCCAAATGTAGCCCGTGCCAGCCATAGCCTAGGGCAAGTTATTTTTTTGCAGCAAATACAGACTCCAGTTGCAGCAGTTCCAAAATTTGCCATATGACATTGAAACAAAAAGCAGGAAGAAGTCCTCCTTTGCAAAGCTTTTAATCCAAATGAGAGCACCAGTCTCAGCCCACAAACCTCTGACTCTGGCTATTGTTGCCAAAAGTCTTGGTCCCACAATGAGATGCTGCACTGCCTCTGCTTTTTGGTTTCTGGGCAACCTGAAACAGGGGGGTTGTGCTTGTGCTTTTCACTTCCTCAAAGGAATGTGTGGAGGAGACCAGCAGGATCTTGGTTTAAGTAGATATCAAATATTTTTAAAGCAATGTGTCTAAACACATTGGTTTGTTTTTTCTAATAATTAGTAACACCCCCATAATGAAGCTGATGAGGGTGTAATCACCTTCACAGGGTCTAACCCAAAGCTGTCCAGTTCAAGAGGGATGCAAGGGGCTTCTGGCAACCTTTAACAAGGCATCTTCTCAATAAAAGAAGAATTTAAAAAGCCTTTTCAAATACATTTTAAAAGTAAAGGTAACTGACACTATCTAGGAAATTAATAACCTTCCCTGCAAAATTAAAATGGGAAAGGGATTTTGAGTGACACACAGTTATTTAACACTTCAGTGCATGTAACAAAACTGCATACAAAAAGACCATTTCAATCTGTATTATTGAAAACTGTCTGGAGTACAGGCTGTAGCCCCGAGTAACACACCTAAGCAATTCACATGTCCAGATAATGATTCCCAAAAGTTACAGCCTTTCAGAATAACAATTAACAGTTAGAACTATCTGTTTCTTTTGTTTTCTCAACATTATTTTCTTTATGTGTTGGCTTGCTTTTTTCTTCCTTAATTTCGTTCTGGTTCAGCGTGTTTTCAGACATCTGATCCCCACTGGTGGACACAGGATCTAAAACTACAACGGATTTGGTGTCTTTTTCACTGCTAGAAGCTTTTCTTGTAAATTCTGTATGACTAGTTGATCTAAAGGAAAAAAGAATAAACATATTAATACAGATGACAGTTCACATATTCAGAAGGAAGACTATAAATATACAGAAAAGCATTTTTATTAATAGCATACATGACCGGGACAGGTCTACCAAGCTAGTAAATAGATTTACAGATATAGCAGCTGTTATGTACAGATAGTAGTGCAAAAAATGCAACAGTCACTTTACCCCCCATGAATCATTCGTTAAGCTGGGCATGGAAGATGAAAAATGAACTCACAAGGCAGTGAAAAAATCCTTAGACTATGAAAGTATTGGTTTAAAGACAGCCATAAGAATTTATTTTCTCTCTGCTCATCTCAGAGGTTCCCCCATGTCCAAAAGAGCAGCTGCACTTGGAGAAAATGCCACCAGCTCCTGCAGTGTGTGTGCTGACAGTCCTGCAGCCTGGAAGGAGCACACGGTTCCTCCACACCTGGATCCCAGAGCCACCTGCCCGGGGCTGTCCCTGTGCTGCACTCACTGCAGGACTGGGAAGTGTAACCAGGTGTTCCCTGTGACTGCCACTGGTCTCACTGGGAGCAAGTGCAAGCGATTTCTGGAAATTCATGCGCTGGGTTTGCCGAACTATTGAGGGCGTTAGACTTCCACTCTGTGCTGCAGAGCTGGGGTTACACCCTGACTGCCTGCGGGGCAGGGATTCCTGTGGGTAAAGAGCCCTCCCAGCAGGCAGGAAGGAAAGGGCAGAGACACCCGGGTCATCTGTCCAGGCTGGCATCATGCTACAAACACTAAAAGCACTTGTCTATATTCAAAGGCGTCATACCAGTGTTGAAAACATGCAGGCAAATCCTCAGATTAGCTGGAATGCACCAGCAGAGAACATGGCAAACACTGGGAACGCTCGACCCGAACAAGTGGCAGATTGGGGTGTTTCCCAATGCCATCCTAACCCTGCTGGGTGGGCAGACAGGTTGGACCTCCCTCGCTGAGCCTCCAGAGCCTGCCAGCCCATGTGCCCGAGGCCACAGAGCCGGGCAGGCTCAGGGAAGGCAGTCACACCACGGGGCACAGTGGAATGGACCCACTGCAGGCACCCACACTCACACAGCCACGAGCACCACACTGGGCAGGGGTAAAATCCCTCCTGCTGGAAGGTCCTACACACACACTGCTGGGTGTGCAGCTCCACTGCCCTGGGAAGCCTGACTGTGGAGCTGCTGCACACAACTGCACTGACTAGTCAAGAGCCTCTATTTCCCCCCCTTTTTCTGGTAAGATAACACCCTAGAAAGGAAAAAGCAGAATCGACTGGAGGCCAGAAAAAGAAATTCAGCTACTGGATCCACCTGCTATGAACTGCCCTTTATTGTGACGGTCTTTGTCCTAGAGAAAATGACAAAGAAGAAAAGAGGTCACCCCACCAACAATTAGAGCACGGGGTGGGGAATGGACTGGCTCCCACCTGACAGGGAGAGAGTAAATGAACAGGTTAAAAACAAATAAATAATCATAGAAACAACAGCTGCTGCACTTTCCATTTCAGAAAGAATTTACTCAGCTTGCTACTGCAGCGCTGGATACAGCAAATGAAATTCCACGTTCAAGCTTTAATTACAAGAATTGTCTCTAACATTAGAACTTTGGTATAAGTTAATTAATGCAGAAATTGGCACTAATAGATACAGTTTCAGACTCATTTGATTATCATCAGAAGCTAGTGACTTCATAAAAAAAATAATGCTGACTTTATGCAGAAGTTGCCAATCATTCAGAAAAATACAAGGTGGGGTATTTTGAATGTTACAGCAAATTAAACTTTTTAAAGCAGTGTAACCAGAAAAGGGTTATTTTAAAAAGTGCTACTTTTGAAAAGCTGATTGCCCAACACTATAAAAATGGTCAAGCCATAAATGCCAAGTTCATTTTTATTTCACTTTGGAGGTAACTATCTTTCAAACCCAACAGCTGGACTATTTAATACAATCTGGTGAATCAAAGTATAATTCTTCACTGGGCTCACAGTGGGGAGTCTGCATTAGTGTATGGCAGCATTCCAACAACTGATGCACAGCCAAATGCTCTGAAGTCTGTTTCATTTATAACAAAAATGGATAAAATGGCAATCATATTTACCACCTTCAAAGACAGAAAAATGAAAGATGTCGATATAAAGTAGTTTAATGGAGGAAACTGGTGATTAAATCAGCGTTTCAAGCATAAAAATAAGAATTACTATCCGACTTCCTTGTACTAGTACTCCCTTCTTCAAATCCTTTACACTGGTGCAGCACCAGCCTGACAGTGCTGCTGTTACAGCTGAGGCACTGTTAAAAATTATTAACCTTATTTATCAGGTATTCACAGCTCACTTTCAACAGTTTGTCAAGAGCAGAACGTTTCAGTGCAAGAATGAACATAATTTTGGTGCTCCCTTTCAAAAAACAGTTTTTACTGCTACGAATAAAGCTGGGAAAAGCAGACAGAGTTTGCCACAGTTCTGAACAATTACAAATTTGTTTAGCCAAGGTATTTGCATTTAGTTCTATTCAAAGCTCTTCCCTCATTAAAACTGTTAATGCTGTTATCAGTATTCTTGTTATTTGCCCAACTATATATTTAAGCTAGAAATTGAGAACCTAGTTCTATTTGTACTCATTCACACACAGTTGTTCATAAGTCTGCATATATTTTTATGACTAAACACATAAAATCTGTACTGGAAAATTCAGGTTTAGATGATAAATACACTTTAGATTAATTGTATGGGATATGCAAAGTCCCATGCAGTACTGAGGACTGCCTGTGTGTAGTGGGTTGACCCTGGCCAGACACCAGGTACCCACTAAAGCTGCTCTCTCACTCCCCTCTGCAACTGGACAGAGGAGAGAGAAAAAAAAACAGCTAAGGATTCATGAGTAGAGATAAGAGCTGGGAGAGGTCAGTGACTGATTCCCTTCACAGGCAAAACAGACTCAAAGTGGGGATAGTACTTACATTTATTACTAACAGGATATGAGCCAAAGGGTGAGTTAATTTTATCTTCAGTTCAGAACTTTCATTAAGAATAAAAGCATAAACTGCAGATGTGTTTATTAAACATTTTAGGATTCTTAAGAAGACAGGGGAATAAAAAAGACAAAATGAAAGGCTAATTCTGAGCAATAGCAAAAAATACACCAATTCCAAGTTTCGGAAGCCTTCAACGAACAAAAAATTCCATCCCTACAAATACTACCAGTATTTGTCAAAAGGAAATTATTAGGAATACAGTGACACTAGTGATTTAGTCCATTGTTCCCTTCTCTGATACCAGTGCTACCTGTAACACCAGATATCTATGAAAAAAGTGCAAGAAACCTTCTCCATTTCAGAATGCCCTTGCTAAATCTAGTAGAAAGGTGGTCAACACAGCAGCCAGCAGAACAGCACTGCAGACTTCCTTTAGTATGGAGACTGTCCCCATTTTTAGGCACTTTTTTTTGAAAATGCTCAAAAAGATTGGCAAATTCATTTAAATGAAGAATCTTGGAGAGCTTCTACCTGCATTGAGAAGGAACACAGAGTACATGCTAAGAAAAATGTGTGACAGTAACTTTTAAAACAGTTAAAACTGAGAACATCCTCAAACTTCCAGAACATCCCATTGTTTTGTTCATTTGTTGGTCAAACTAATTTGTCCATGTTCAAGCTGCACTGAAAACCTTTGCAGTTCTGTGAGGCTGAGCTGCTCCCTGCAGAGCTGGTAGATGATTTGGGGGTACTAAGATTACAGGCAGGAGAAGGAGGACAAATCCTTTAATTGTATAAAATCATCAGATTAAGACCAACCCTCTCTATAGTTCACTCTGTTAGCACAGAACTCTGCTGCCCAGAAACACAATGTTTACAAAGTGCTAAAAAAACCCCCACCAAACACCCAAAAAACGCAGAGCCAGACACACCTTTCCCTTCTGTGCCTAAACACTGCAGGGGGTCACGGGAACTCTGCTCCCAAGGGAACTGAACTGTCACCTATTCTCTGCTAAGCAGGTGTCACAGAATTACACTCATGCTGGGTTAAACACTGGGAAGAGATTTGCAGAGGAAGTTACCTTCACACTCAGGCAAGGCCTCAGTTTCTCTCCAGGACACACATCACTGATGTCTCCCCCCTAAGCACCACCTCAGCAAGATTTTATGCATTCCAAATCACCTGCTTAACGGTTTCACACCCCTCTAACAATCTCCTGCACTGAAATAACACCTCACCTAGAGGTTCTAAACTCAGATCTTTCTCCTGAGTTAAGTTACAGAATCACAGAACACGCTGAGTTGGGAGGGACTCACCAGGACCCTCCTCCAACCCTCAGCCCTGCACAGGCCCATCCCCAGAGTCCCCCCCTGTGCCCCAGAGGATCAGCCAAACCCTCCTGGAGCTCTGGCAGCCTTGGGGCTGTGCCCACTGCCCTGGGGAGCCTGGGCAGTGCCCAACCAGCCCCTGGAGGAAGAACCTTTCCCTGAGATCCAACCTGACCCTGCCCTGACACAGCTCCAGCCATTCCCTGGGTGCTGTCCCTGGTCCCCCCAGAGCAGAGCTCAGTCCCTGCCCCTCCTGAGGAAGCTGTGACTGCAGTGAGGTCTGCCCTCACTCTCCTCTTCTCCACGTTCTCTAAGCTATCATCTGTCAGTTTGATTACAGGAAAATTTCAGAATTAACCTGTATTTACCAACATTGCAGCCCTTCCTCCCAGCCCCTCCCTTGGCCACTGGACCAGCCAATTCAGCTGGAGGCCAGTGCTTTGTTTACACTTGACATGTGTGGAGCCCTACTTCAACCAAACACTGAAATTCTTTACCTCGTGCATATTTAGGTTAGATCATCACTGATTTGGGGTAGGAAGGATACAGGATTTTACTTAATGAGCTGACTGCTGCCTACATACTGATCACAGACATATTTTCAAGGGTCTTTCTCAAGGGTGTGACCTTCTTCCTCCATGAGATGGGGTGTGCTCAACTGCTACTCAACATGAATAAAGTATGATGAATATAGGGCTGGTTCAGGTGTAAATGTCTGCAAGCATCACCTCCTCCCTCAGATTACAAGCCTTAATAAATGGATAGTGTAGCAAACAGAAGTATTTAATGCACAACTATTCCTACGGTTTCCTATAGGAAGCTGTACATTAAAATCTAGGTGAAGAAAAAAGAATAAACCCTGCACTGCAAGAGACACCTGGTAATTATGAGATGTGCAGTCCTCTACTGTGCTGTGAAAGGTTTGCTTGGCTGCTGCAAACAGCTGAAACAAGTCATACCTTTGTGAGATTTCAAGGAATTGCAAATGATGAGAGGACTGCATCCTTTAACCTCAGGTATGAACAAGGAGAAGAGGAGCCACAATAAATTTTTTGTATGCCCTTGTAACTTAGGGTATCTGGTCCAGGCAGCGTTTTGTTTGTTTATTTAACACAGGCTGCTTCAGGGAATGTGGTGCAACAGGAGCAGAAACCCCCTGTGTAGAGGGAAACCCCCTGTGCTTCAGAGCAATGTCCTCAGAACACATGGTTTGGGGGGTACTTTCACTGAACCAGCTCTCACATGGCCCCTGGGCCACCCATTAAAGGCTGGATCACATCTCCTGGTTTAGTTTCACTCATCCAATGAACCCAGGAATCCAGTTTTTGCACTAAGAACACTCCAGGATACAAATCCAAGCACAGCAAACAGGGACAATAGGCAGATTTGCTTCAGAAGTGCTCTGCTGATCCAAACTAAACTGCTAGTACAGATGTCCCCAGGGGAGCCCAGCAAACGGGCTAATTACAGAGCTGAGCTCTCAGACATGTCAGCCAGAGGAACTTCCCTCTGACGCCTCCTTCCAACGGGCCTCGCTTCCAACAGCCCTGCTTCCAGAGAGGCCTCGCTTCCAACAGCCCTGCTTCCAGAGAGCCCTGCTTCCAACAGCCCTGCTTCCAACAGCCCTGCTTCCAGAGAGCCCTGCTTCCAACAGCCCTGCTTCCAACAGCCCTGCTTCCAACAGCCCTGCTTCCAGAGAGCCCCGCTTCCAACAGCCCTGCTTCCAGAGAGCCCCGCTTCCAGAGAGCCCTGCTGCCAACGGGCCCTGCTGCCGGGGGGCCCCGCTTCCAACCAGTGCCATCACACCTCAGAGTCTGGGGGCTGCTGCCACCAACCTTCGCTGCAAACAGCACCCAGGAGAGCAAAGAAAAGTAACTGCACTGCAACGTGAAGCCTGTAGGTTATTCCTGCTGCTCCCTGCCAGCCCAGCTGCAGAAGAGTGGGACAGCCCCAGCACCTTCTCCCTCGCCGGAAAATCATCCTTAACGATGAGTTTTTCCAATTAAGCAGGTTTACAGCAGTGACACAGTGCAAAGAAGCCCAGCAGCATCAAGGAGTCTGGCCCACCACATTTGTTTTAATGCTTTAAACAAATAAATTAAAGTGAAACGTGTCTTTCAGTACGTCACTGAATAGGCAAGCTGAGAAATAAATTGGGCTTCACATATGCTTTTATAACACATAACAACTGTGACTGTCAGCGCAAGATCCTTTTCACTGTCAATTCACCACGCTTTCTGCGAGACCTTGGGGCCTGCAATTATTTCATTTCCTTTCTTGTAAATGCAATTTCCACTTAGTTTGGTGGAATAAAGGTACACAAAAGGTGATGGGAGCTGCTTGTATTTTCTGATCTGTTCAAAATTGTAGAAATCCACAAACTACAAACAGTACTTTTCAGGAACAACCTCATCTTTCTACCAGGGCAGCAGTTCAAGAAAAATGCAATGGCATTATTTATGTCAAATTAACTGCTGAACGAATCTTCATCTTTCTGATTAAATTAAAATGAAGATCATCTTTCTTCTAAGGATACTTAAATGAAATAAAAGGAGAAAATACATATGATTGGAAAAGGCATTCTGCTTTTAATACTCAGTGCAAATTAAATACAACTGTAAAGCACAAAAGGAAACTGGGCTCTTTATCCACTCAAAAATAAATGATGAAAGTACCTGCAGAAGAGTGAAGTATCAGTTCATAAAAGAGATGCAAACTGAATATCCAGCTCATTTGTCATGACTCTACCATTTGAACCAAGCAACAGAGACTTGCTAGAATTGGTCCTGGTGGTATTTGTTAACTGACAGAGCAGGAAATCAGAGGTTTAATTAGCCATGACTACAATATTCTGCTGATCTGATTCGTCTTATCTTTCCTTCCCTTGAAGTGACAAAATGACAAACAACCTGGCAAGGGAACCAAAGCAAGTGCACAGCCCAATCCAAAAGGAGCTTGGTATTGTTGTAAAACAAACCCCTCCTCCGGGGAGTCTGTATGAAATAAATGTTGCTAAAGCAGGTTTAACTCTCTGATACTGAACTGGCACCTCGGGTCTTCAATCTGCTGTAACCAAAGATTCTGCTGCCCATGTGTGCAAATGCAGCACTAGCTGCATTTTATTTTTATCTTGAGATTTCAAGGTATTTACCAGCAAACTTTTAAGAGGAATAGTCAGGACTTGTTTTTGTCCAATAGAAACCACCCTCACACCTGCATACAGACCAGTATGACTCATGTGATTGTATTTTTTTAAATATTTGCTAGAACCCCTTTTAATCAAGAGTTAACAATATAACTATCATCCCTCTTCTCTCCAAGATATGGAAAAAACCCTCGACCTTGCTATTCCTCAAAAACTCTTGAATTCTTTTTTGTGGCAGAAAAGATGAACTCTTTTTGAAGACTGTTCACAGATTTTAAAAGGAAAAGGACTTTATTAAAGAGAATTTTATTTCTGCTTCCAAAAGAGACTGCAAATTATTTGACAAGTCAGTGCTAAACAGCTGCAGACTGTACATTTATCTTGTTAACCAAAATTGATATTAAATCACTTTCAAAATGCACCATCTAAACACATCTGCTACTAAAACATATCTAGAAATCCATATTCTACTTACTGCAAAGTAGGCCTGGAGCCCGTTGCAGCCTGAGGCTGGTTAGAGACAGGTCCTGAGTTGGGTACTTTGGAAGCGAATTCTGTCTCCACACCTTTCTTGTTCAACGCTGTCTGTGCAGCACTGGCTCCTGAACCTAGCACAGGCAGAGATTTTGATTCTGATGTGGCCAAGATTCCAGTGGGACCTAAAACCCAAAGAAAGTTCAATGCTTCTGTTACCCAGATTGACTGGTCTAGAAAAAACACGAGTACAGCAGAACTCAAGCAGAAATCAAAATGGAATTTTAATGAACAGTGCATGGAGAGTATCAAAACATCGTGTTTGTAGCTTCTGCTCTCCCCACCAAGATTAACCCTTTCTTGTACCACAAGCAGTGTTTGCTGTATTGACACAGACATGCACTCAATCCCCTCACCCTCTGGGGTGGCAAGTCCTGCTGTCCACACAGCACTACCCAGTCACAGCTTGCCAGTGCTCTTCCAGCTGGAGCAGGAGGGAGAACCAGCCTGATAACAGAAAAGCCTGTTCTCAATACTGATGAGGAGCCAGTGAACTGTCTATAAAGTTCAAGATAAAACTATGCAGCGACATTCAAACCAGCCACATCTGCATCAGCTATGGCACGGACTTACACTTGCACAGACTGTGTTTGTAACCAAGCAGAACATTAAGTTTTTTACAGATGACAGTAAAGCACAGCATAAAACTTGCTCCACAGAGCAGGGTAATTCAAATCATCAGCCCCAAACCCTCATTTCTCTGGTTACCATTACTTTCAGGAGTATTTTCACAGTAGGCCCAGACTATTAACTCCAGCAACAACGTCTGAGCTGTGGGCTGAAAAGAGAACCCGAGTGAAGGTGTCTGTGCACACAGAAAATTCCAACAGAGGCATCTCTTGGAGAAAATGGGCGTGAAAAGTAACAGGTGCGACAGGAAGTGAGTCACTGTGGAAGCAGGCAGAGTTCTCCATAATGGCTGAAATGGCAATGGTCTGGAAGAGAAAGTAAAGCTTCAAGAGTCACTTAATGCAGGGAGAGGAAGAGAACTGCAAAGGAGTGCAGCCACTTACTGCCACTGTCCTGGTCAGTGGTCACCTTGCGGCGGCGCAGCACTCGCTCCAGCTCCGTTTCACCGCTCTCTGTCTCAAGGGACTTCAAGCTTCGAGAACTAGTGGATTTATTCAGTGTTTCCTACAGCAAGAAATAGGCATGAGAAACTGTCTGAGGACATATTAATGTCTTACCAAGCATCTCATATGCACAACTTCAGAATCTTTTAACTGCATCAAAGCAACTGCAGTTCTAGAGCAGCGTGCCATTAGTACGACAGTGAGCACCTGGGGATCAGCTCACCACTCCTGCACTCCCTTGGATTTCCTGATGTAGGCATAAACCACACTTATCACACATTAGAGTTTGGTATCAGGCTTAAGAAAGATACTCTGGATCACCAATGAACAAATTCTGATGTTGCAGGGAACTGCCAAATTCCTCCATCTAAACATTTAAAGGATCTTAAAAAACTGCTGGACCATCATCATGCCCATAATTACCCACTGACATCAAAAAGCTAAAGATCCATATTTTACTGCTCCAGCAGGTTTTATATTTTAGCATGGTCCCACATTGCTGCATCTTTATTAGCTACAACTGCAGCATACTTTATCCTATAATCTAGCTGATCTGCTATAAACTTGACCCTATGTCTACATACTTCGAGGTTACTCTTTTTCACAGAGTTAGATCACAAGTTGAAACAGTTTTTTATACATACAAACCAGAAATACACACAGTTACTGCCTTATGCCAAGGTCAGCATGTAGTATCAGTGAAGCTGCAAGCCTTGGAGCACTTTTCTTAAGGTGGGGGGAAAGAGGCTTTAAGAAGCTTTGAGCAAAGCCTGAAACCTCACAGACTTGCCACAGGAATTTAAAGATGCATACAGTGCATACTGCATGCATTTCCCAAATTACAAGAGTCAGTCATTGGATCAGAACTTGATTGAAAAAAATTTCCCAAAAATGTTTATATAACGCAACTGAAAATTTGGTGCCCACATACTATTTCATTTTCCCTCTGAGTCTTGCCATCTTTAGGAATGCCCAGGAATCCTGTTTATTCAGCCTTCCAAAACATATCAGACTCGTATAGCTTTTTTCCAGCACATAAATAACATACTCTTGACATCTTTCATAGACAAGCACATAACTTCTGAGCAGAAATAGCCAAAGATGAAAGGAATTAGCATTGCAAGTTGCAGAAGTTGTGCTGCTTTTAGAAACTCTGTAAAGTAACTCTTAATTCTTCACTCCTTCCTAGAAGTTAAAATATTTTCATTCTTAACTATTTGAAATTTAACTAAGCAGGTTATTCATTAGCAGTACACTCCAGATCTGTACAAATGTACACGTATGGAAAAACAGAGTCCCTCAAACTCTGCAATTTACAAAACATAAATGTGTTTTGTTTGTAATAATTACATGGAGGTCTACACAAAATGCATTATTAGCAGAGTAACAACAAATGTTTACTCCATCACATTCCACCCCCATGTTTGTTGTCTGACTGTGCATAATCACTGGTCTCAAGAATAGACTGGAGCTGGATTTTATACAGTTTGCCATACACTGGAAAGACCCTGAAAGCTCAAAAGCAACAAGCCAGATACAGAAGTGCAGTGACTGCAGGTTTCTCTCTGCTCCTTCTGAAGTACATAATCAAGGCTCCTCTGATGTCAGTGACAAAGTGCTGAAGAAATAAAACAGCTACTAGAAAATGAAAAGATCTTTGGCAGGATCGTCCTGTCCAACCCTCACTGGTCCAACGGGCACACTATATCCAACTATTCCTGTAAGTATGGAATTCCATTTAAAACACAGTCTCTGTGTTGCATTTTATTCCTTTCCTATTTACCTCTGCATTTAATTATGTGTCCCTCTAATCAGAGCTCAGCATTAAGGTCTGGTGGCTCTCTAGATCATTTCCTCCCTTATTCTCCTGCTTTCATGTGTCCAGAGAACAGCAAGTGTAACATGTCACTGGTGCCCCACTTGTGATTTAGATCACAGCACAGGCTGAGCCCACACTCTATGCTGTACTGTCTTGCATCACCCAACACAATACTGAGGTTGTTTTTCTAAGGGCTGTTTGGGTGCTACTATGAATAACAAGAATGATTATCCTCATCTTCTGTAGAGTGCAAGTGAAGCATTTTGCTGCAATACTGGCGGAATTTCACCTTATGTGCCAAAGTTGTACATCAACTTGAAAGTCTCAGGGTTACAGAAGTCAGGGAGCAAGAACTACAGCTCCTTCTGACTGTTTCATACAGTTTTATCACTTGTGCAAAAGATACAGCCAGTTAAAACAATTCAACCTATGAGTAAAGGACACAACAGGAGCAAACTTAGCACATTGCTCTCAGCAGGACCCAACACACGCCTAATGTTTTTATTTAGTGATAAACGGGTACATGGACAGCTATTCAGAATCAAATTTTTCTAAATATAAATGCAGACAGACTAAAGTTCTTGCTTTATTTAGGCTTTGTCTACATAACAAGAAATCTGGGGCCTCTGGAGAGAGCAGAAGTTGATGAGGAGAACTCTACATCTACTCTATGTGCAGTCCAGGGGCTTTACTTTGGACTAGATACAGATATTCAGCTGTCTCTCCATCCCTAAGCATCCCCACTGTGAGTACTTGGAAAGTTTCCAAAGGCAGATGCAAACCATAACATCCCCTCTAGTGGCAGAAGCACACAAGCCCAGAAGAGTTCACAGGTTAGTTTCCCTAGAACACATTCTGTCAGCAAAACCAACAGCAAGACCAAAACCAACCCTTAAGTCGAACCATAAGTCAAAGGTGGAACTGGGGGGATTTGCTCCAAAACTGCTCTATGTTTTCAACCCAGAAAAGAAAACGAAATATAAACTGGAAGTTCTCTTACCAGAATCCCCTTTAATTCCTTCATTGCACTTTCAGAGGGCTTTGGTGTTTCTGGCTGTAAACAAGCACAGCACAGGCGTGTTAAAGAACACATGACACGGACCATGACAGTCTCTGCACTCGACGACAGGCTGAACACCAGGGGCTGTGCACAGGCTACAGCTGTGGCACGTTCTCCTGCTCCCTCTTTTTGTGGGCACATGGACAACATTCAATCTGTTCTCTTACACAGCTGAAGGGAAGAGCCTCAGCTCTTAACACTGTGAACCACAGACTATACATAAAGATTATACTTTTGTGCAGAAGGTAAGCAATATTTTATAGTAGCCACACTCAGGTATTAGGTGTAAGTATTACATAAAAGAAAGAAATAGTGCTAAATATAGTCTACTACTTCATCAACTCCTCAACCCAGTTCAGTTACGCTCTCTGTGCTTTTTATTTCTCAGTAGCTGTTTGTTTACAAGTTTCTTTTCTGTGTCAAAGAAACTGGCCTTCTACTGTTGCCTTCATTTCCTTTTCTGTTGTTCAGCTATATGCTGCTCTAATGAATTTTATCCAAAATCAATCAAAGTAAATGAGGTGAGGAAAATGCATTCTTCAGAATGTTAAAGTCTGATTTCTTTTCAGTGTAAATTACTGTACTTAGCTAATATTATTGCTCTGCTATTTATTCCAAACCTTTGTTTTAGGCCTGCTTGACTGGTTGACTGGTCTCAGGTGAACTCCCTTTTTAATTCTGTCCATCATTTCTTCAACAGCTTGTCTCTTCAGATCTGTAACTTCTTCACCTGTTCCAAAAATCAAAGACTCTATCATATTTCAGATATGAACTACAGAGAAGTGGTACAAAGACAAAATGTGTTATACAGCCTCCTAAACAGCTTGCTTGCCATAGGCAGCCAGTTACCATAATCAGAAATTAGTTTTAATGATGAAACAACACTTACATATACAGTGTTCTTAGTTATACTCTGTGCAGTAGGTCTTCCTGCCTGCATGTGTGATGCATATTGCTCATGGACTATGCAGATCCACGCTTTCTCCCACTTTTATTAAAAAGATATAAGCACAAATATATACGCTTATCTTTTCCCCCGTAAGTGGGCTGTTCACAGGGCCTTTCTTACAGGAATACTATCTTACTCTTCCTTCTCCACACCACAGAGAGGCAGGTTACCTTACAATGCACACATCTTTATGGCAGCAGAAACCAGCAACCTCATCTCTAGTTACAAGAATTCTAGATTATGAGAACTGCTGGACACAGAGCTATTAGAGATCTTTGCTATCAGCTAAACTGCCACAAGCTCTTCAAGGATAAAATGCCAATCTATCGAGGATCCTGCTGTGGATGCTGCAAATGCCAAACTGCAGAAGTTTGGGCAGAAGCAGGTCCCAGATCCTGAAAATGCAAAGCTCCTGTCAGTGTTTGGGAATGGCAAAAGCTCAGTGCCAGAGGCTGAAGCCCCAGGGGCTGAAAAACACGGCTCTGCTTCCACTGTGTCTCCTCTCTGTGGCTGGGCAGAAATGCTGCAGCTTCACTGACACAGCACAAGCTGACAATGCCCCATGGCAAGGCCCATGTGCACAAGAGTACCAACTGTGTCTCCTATTCCACGTGGTTTGAGAACCTGGCTGGAACAACACACCAACACCTCAAACTGAACTGGACCCAAACATTTAAATAACACTGCATCAAGTGAAAGGGCAAAACTGAAATACCAGGAAAAGAAATGGCTGCTTTCTCAAGAGATCTGCTATTAGGACTGCAAAATATTCAGATGACATGGGATGCTGTGTGATGAACCTGAGCAATACCTGTTAACTTGTCAGTGTTCTGGATAATGTAATAAAAGACACTTAACATGCCATACCAAAAAGTGGGGGGAAAAGAGTACTTAAAGCAAACACATGGAGAAATAGGGTCGATGCTATTCAAAGCTGCAAGATTGTACCTTGTATAATAGGAATATTAAAAAGGCTTTTGCTCTCTCACTTGTCAGGGTACTATTGATGATTCATAGAAATGCAGTTTCTGTATTCTAAGCCGATTTAATGTCAGGCTTTAATTTCACAAACAGGCTGTTTCAAATATAAAAGCTTAATTGGTGGTATGGGATAGAAACCACTCATTCTAAGTCCTTAACGAGGGTCAAAACAAGCCTCAAGTTGGATATAATAACTAGATCAAGAAAGAACTTTCTCCTTTTTTATTTTTAAGAACAGCTCAACTATAAAGAGCAAAAAAAGGAGTTTATGTGTGATTGAAGAAAGGTCAGAACTGTTGAAGTTTGCTAATAAATAATGAAAGAATGGGGTTTAGAGAACCTACAGCGAATTTCATAGTATTTACTGCAATGCAGTCACTGTTTGGGATAGTTTCAACAAAAAGGTGTAATCAAAACATCTAGGATGCTTCAAGGTAAGGAACCCTGATAAATGAAGACACCATAACTGGACTTTTACTGTAAGATAAGATTGACTCTTCATCAGAGATTTTGGTACAAGGTCACTTCTCTTTTTTTTTTTCCAGACCAACACCCTTATTTCTCTCAGACTGGTAACCAGTTCCCAAAAATTCCCCAGGATCTGCCCAAGTCACTCCACTCCTCAGTTCCTCACCTGAAAAATGGGAAGGGTAATTCTTTACCCCACTTCTCACCTGTTGGTTCCACCCCACAATCCAGCCTTACTTACAAACCGTTAGTCTGCTAACAGCAGATTTGTCTTTAACAGTTATATCCTATACCCGTAATTTCAGCCAGGTTTCCTTCTTTGTTTAAGTGTCAGCAAATGAGTTAAGCAATTCACCACAAACTCCTGCTGTTTCAGAAGGAAGAGAGAAACAGGGAGAAAACCCTTGGTTATTTAACTGGCAATGCCTGTCTAACTAGCTCTGACTCTTCAGGCGCTCATGATCATCTGTAAATCTCTGCTTAACTCCTGTTCTCAACCTACTAAGCTTCCAGCTTCCATTAACAACAATAAAATGCATTTTCAGCTGTTACACTGTGCATGCAGAGCCACCTTAGTGCAGGGCTCTGTTTTGTTTTAGGTTTTCAGTATTATTAAAGGATTAGCATTACAGTCAACTCTGAGTGGTAATTTCACAAGATATGAATCGAGGGATGAAAACCGAAGCATTTAACAAACCAGCTCTGTGGAGAGGCTCTGGACAGAAGAAACTGCAAACAAGAAGCCATGTGGAAGTTTGGAAATTTCCCTGTATTATGCTGTATATAACCTGCTCTCTGCTTAATGCTTGTTGGGTTTGTTCCTCTGCCTCTTCCATGGAACCTGCACAAAGCCCTGCACACACTGTCCTGCAGTGACGTGCTGCACTGTCTCCAGTTTGGAGGCACAGGTTGAACCCCTCAGTGCTACCACAGTGCAACTACTTCAGGCAGCACCAAACTGCCAGGCTGCAACTCAACAAGCTGCACACAGCCAGTGTAACAGCATGGGGCCTAAACTGAACCGTCCTGTTCTCCCCACCCATCTCACCCAGCACATCATCCCACCCAGCTACACGCTTATCTTCTCAGGTCACCCCGAATCCTCCTTTTCTCCAAACTAGACAAGCCCAGAGTCCTCAGCCACCCCTCACAGGAACACCAAAGATACCACTTCCCATTTCGGTGCACATATACCTGGGTTGCAATCCCCTTTCTGGACTCAAGGTAGAGGAGTGTGCTGGACATGGACAGCTGCAGGAAATGTTGGCAACAAAAAGCATCTGAATGGCTCTCTGCATCCACAGCTCACTCCCACCAGCTCCACCTGCAGGACCCGGGGCATGAGCCACAGGACTCGAGAAGGGATGAGCCATACCTGACTCCTGCTGAGGAGGTTTCTCCTTCTTGCTCACATTGGTGTTGGAGTGAGATCTCTTGCGAATCATTGACATGAGAGACCTTTGGGGGAAATGAAAGTGCAGATTGTCATTCTGTCCTGTGTTACACACTGTCAGAATGAGCAGGAATGCCACACACCAACAGTTGGCTTATACCTGATTATACAGCTACTTACAAAAGACTCATTTAACTGTTCTTGAAAGCAGATGTATGCACTGAATTACCCCCCACAATGCCTCCCATCAAAATGCACCAGAGAAATTTCTTTCTTTTTAACAGACATTAGGCACGAATCAAAACACTCCAGATCTGAATATTAAAAGACAGTCTCATTGTGACACATGACAAATTGAAGCTGCTCCAGCATAATAAATGGAAAGAAGAGCTGTAGATATTGAAGTATTGTTCTCCAGAGGACACTTAAATATGGTGATCAGTATCTCCTCACCATCTCCAAGTTTGTAATCTTCTTACAGTGTCAAATAATTATCCCCTCACTACAGTCAAAATGTAGAAGTCCAGGCAAGTAAATGATTCATCTTCAAGCTCAAGTATAAGCTCCTGTGCACATGTGATGTGTCAGTTGGGCCTATCAGTCCCTACTGAGCACTGCTCCTTACAGAGTAGTGGCATCCCTGGCATAAAGGGTCAAAACCAGAAAAAAGCAGCATCCAGTGCCTAGGCTCTGAAGTAACTTCTATGCACATAAACATCACAGTGCACGAGGAAATACTCTGGCTTAGCTACTACAGGGCTTAAAGTGAACAGTTTTATTTATTCCAAATAGTAAAGGGCAAAAATTGAAACAAAAAAACCCTTACAATACCTCTACACATTGATGCTATACATTAGTGTGAAACAAGCAAGCGAGCTGAATGAGTTAATGGACATAAAAGAAGCAAAAGATCAAACACAACTGTTCAGAAAGTGTTAAGTTTCTAAAAACAATGCAAGATGCACAAAGGGATGAATTGTCCCTACTAATCATCTCTATTCATATATTTAATACAGTAGTTAACAAGACTCCTGTATGTCATTTCTATTACAGAAGGTTGGAAAGTGTCATTGAAGTCCATTTATTTTTAAAACCAAGCAGACAACATGAAGATTAGCTGAGTTTCTAAAATTAACTAAGCACCCATTAGGGGCTTACTTAATTAATCATTTGGGTCTAATGCGCGATACATCAGACTGGTCAGCCTCTTTTTATAGTCCTTTGCGAAAATCAGGCCCAATTTTGGTAATTTTGTCCAAACCACCTGATGATGGGGTGATGATTTTATGTTTGGGGTTTTTTTCTTCCTTTTAACTTATGAAAGTAATTATGGGAACTCAATGGAGCCTGCATTTTCATCATCAGTATCCGACATGAAGGGACACACAGTAATCCAACACATCCTTTGGTTCAAAGGAGTTTTCTTTGCAGCAGAAAGCATTTCACAAGTCTATAATTACAGCTATCAGGTGAATAGGAAAAAAAAATCTCCTAAATTTAGAGGAGACAGGTATCCCTCCTCCTCCTTCAGGGCCAGAGTCTAGACAATTCGTTAAGCTTGGCAAGGCAGACACTGTTCAAAACTGGTCAGGGTGTTAGTCTGTTGGTAGGTGGGGCACAGTCTGTGTCCTGCTGGTAAAGAGCCCAAGACAGGTGGAGAAAGCCTTTTTTTCTTTAAAGACACTCTTCCTGCTTGGACGCAAGCTCCTGTAATGAATTGTGCCCGTGCAAAGTATTAAAGCATTAACGCTGTGCCCCTCCCAGCACTTACCGTATAGGGTTGGGAGGGGGGGGCGGAGGGAGGGGAGGAGGGGGCGGTGGAGGAGGAGGTGGTGCAGGATTTTCAGACTGCTGTACTCGTTTTTGAAGTTCATCAACTGCGCAAGATCAATAAAACAAACCACAGTGAGTCTCAAAACCAACTCTGACGGCTGAAGAAAAAAATGCTACTTATTAACTAAAGAACAAACAACGAGACTAAACCACACGACTGCTAGGAAGTCCTATTTTCAGCAACACTTTCTACCAGGAACAATGTCCTAGACATATGGGATTCCCATTAAACCAGCTACCTCCAGCCTGAGTTCCTTCTGAAACTAAAACTCCCCCTCATACAGGATTCTTCATATAAAATGACAGAGCAGGGAAAACTTCATCCCATTCCTGTGATGGTCTGTTTGAGGCTGCATTTGAGAATGAGCTAAAGAGATGGAAGAAGTTGACAATTTCAGCTTCCAGACTTGATGCTGATGTGGGTTTTCCCCATAAAAATGGTCAAATCTGGGTGGTAAAAGAAAGTATATTCTTTCTCTTCTGTTTACATGTCAGATCTAAAACACGGAAATTACTTTTCTGCACTTGAAATGCTGTCAAGTATAATTAATGGGGAAGGGCAGAAACAGAGGGGAAAAAAGTCTTGAATTTCTTTTAGTTACAGAAATTCTCAGCAATTGTTCTGATACAATAGGAATCTCACGTGGATATGGCTCACAGAATCACAGAATACCCTGAGTTGGAAGGGATCCCCCGGGATCATTGAGTCCAACTCTTAGCCCTGCACAGGTTCTTTGCTCTTGTAATGATAGATTCAAATTAAAATTACAATATTTTACACTTAATTTTAAATTTTAGAAGGTAAAAAAATTAAAGATCAACCGAGTGACTTTAAATTCCAGGTACAACCTTTATGCTGCAGGTACAACCTTTATGCTGATAAATTCCTTCTGAAGAACAAACAAGCCTGGACGGAAACAATCTGCTGCCCAGGCATATTGTAGGTATAGGGTGGCAGGGGTGGGTAATGTAAAACTAACACAAAGCAGTTCTTCCAACAAGGACTGCTAACAAGCTCAAAGATAACCCTGCTCTTGAGGATATGTTTCAAAAAAACATGGCTATGCATGAAGCTTTAGCCGAGGACACTTTGGGCTCCTGTGACAGGGGCTCAAACGTTGCTCTGAGCAGGTATCAAACTTGAACCTTGCACTTGCATAGGCCTTGAACTGAACAAGGACTGCAAGCAAATGCACATGCAAATTCTTAACCAGCCATGGCCCCACATTCCCTATAATGAGGTCACACACACCAAGAGCCCTTTTTAAAACCAATTTTAAATTCAGAGCCTTAGATCAGAAATTTCCTCATTCAGTGGACAGGATGCTACCGACAAGCCAGGCACCATCCTGACTGCAATAACTGTATGAACCTGCACTGCAACAGTTGTTCCCTACTAAATATTCTGTGAATCTTTTCTGTTTGTATTCTTTGGGAGTTAGTTTACATCTTAGTAGCTAGCAAGACTGTTTCTTTCCTTTCATTTCTTTAACTAAGTATTCAACCACAAGTAAGAGATTTAGATGTGTAATTCTCATGGATATGAGCCATAACAGCCCCCTGGATTTGCTTGGCTAACTCCCTTTGTAGGGCTCTGAAGGCAGTACTCATCTTTGAAATAACTGTTTAAATAAAAAACAACAGCCCACCCCTCCAGACCCTCTCACATCAACCGACATGGTTTTCTCACATGTCAATATGAAGAGCTAAAACGTGTCTTTATTTTCACTGGTGTCTTCTATTGCAAGACTATTAAATGGCTGGGTAGCTTGATAATTATGGGATGTTTTTGTACAATTCATACAGTGAAGACTCCCCAGTCTGACAAACCTCTGGTTAGTTATACCACTGTACTTTTTTTTAAACTAGGTAAGAAAATTGAGTTTGAGGGATTGTGTCTTTCACACAGACACCCATCCCATGTATATATCCATCTGTAAGACTCAGGGCAATCTAACAACAGTATTTTTATACCTTACAGAAGTTTTACAAGGTTATTTTTTCACACATTTTGGACATGACTGTTCTGCATTTAAGCTGAACAAAAGCTTCTGAGGTCTCAAACATAACATGTATAATTCCATTAGATGTGCACCAATCACCCTCCACACACTTCACCTCTAAAATGAAAGTCATTACACAATTTTACCTGAATGCTTTAGGTCTCTAGCTTTTTCTTCGGAGTGCTGACATTTAAGCTCTAGTTCCTTTTTATCTTCTTCCAAAAGTTCTAGTTGCTGTTTAAGACGACTAATCTCCTTATGCAGTGCTTGATTCTCTAGCTGCTCTTCCAATTCTTTGATCTGCAGTTGGCAAACAAGAGCATTCATCTCAATAAAATCCATTTTCTGTCCCTCCTGTTGACAAATAACCCACTAGGCACAGTTATCCTGAAAACATAATGTTATAGTATAGGAGTGAACTACAAGTCCTAGAAAAAGGAAAATGTTTGAACGAGAGCTGAAGAGATTTTTCTGAGAGATGTCAGAATTTCCTATTATGATCCCAACTTGCTTTATCTCTTCCTTAGAATATGTCTTTAGCTCTAAAGTACTTAAGCTGTAAGCTGCTCCCTTTTCTTTTTATAGAATTTTTATCACATAATTAGAATTTAATTTCAGAACGTTTCCTCATTTGAAGCACGAGAACGTTGACATTTTTGTTCTCCTACTGACTGCTTCCACTGACAGGCTGGTTATTTAAGCTCCCTTGTCTCAACTCATGCAGATGCCAGTGGGTGAATTATGGAATACCTGATTCAGAGGCAGCATTCAGATGCAGAGTAGCAATAAAGTCCCAGCTCCCTAAATATGTATCTTTTGCTCTAGACTCATTATCAGATTTGTGAGAACATGCCTCAGGGCTAAAGGAAAGCTCATTTTCTGGGAAAGCAATGGTGATTTCTCCCAGCTAAGAGATTTATCTAGTCCAGTTTTAAAGAATATATTTGTTTATATCCCAGCATTTTAGATCCTATTTAGATCCACATTGTAGCATTCAACTACCCTTTCCCTGTTCCAGTATGCTTGGCTTTTCCACATCCATTTCTTTAGCAAGACCCAGACTACTACCTCTGCCTAGGAACTGCCTACCTCTCACCTCCTGGTATTCTAAGCTTATCCTCCCAAGATAGCCTTTACATTACTCAATGTCCAATATATTCTCCTGTCATCTCTTTACTTAATGGAACTTGACTTAGTGCTTGTAACTGCACTTTACTGACATTCAGAATAAAATACTTACCTAAACCAGAGGCTTCAGGCTGAAAAGCCTTCAAGTTTTGTACTCATGTCTTAACAGCGACCCAGAAAAAGGGAATCAGAATCTTCTCAGAAACTTAGCTTATAAACTCTGAACTCCTACAACGGATAAGATCTCAAATAACTCTGAATACAATAAAGACATGACACTCCTTAAATTCTGGAGACTTTCAAAGACTTCCACGTAAGGGGAAAGAAACACAGTTTTACCTTTTGCTGGTGTTGAAGCCTCTCTTCTTCTAATGTCTGGGTTAGCTTAGCATTGTCATCCAAAGCCTTCAAAAGCTGTTGATCAGGAGCAGAATTTTGCAGAAGCAACTGACTCTGCCTTTTCATCTTGTTCTGTTCAATAAACATCTGCCAAAACAAAACCCACACCCAACAAAAACAACAGTTAGGCACAGTCTAATGCTATCCTGGGGAAAATAGCAATTGGAAAGAAAATGAAGTTAACAGGGTGTTAATGTGGCAGAAATAGTGAGGAAGAAAGTGAGAAGGAGGGGGAAAGGAAGTTTGAGAGTAAAATTTACAGGAGCTAAGCTCACACTGAAAGGAACCAGGTGTTTGCTGAGAACCACCCACTGCTACACCTCAATTACCCACACGTTGGCAGCATTCAAAATTTAAGCACATCTCTGAATTTTGTTTCCTGGAAATGGGAACAATCTGGCCTCCATTTGGGGAGCTCTGGAAAGACTGAAAGAACTCTAGGTGGAGGATAAATGTCTGTGAATTCATAGGTTACCTCCTCAAACATGTATGCAAGCCTTGGCATAAAGCCCACTTATTTGAGGGTTACCTGGATATGTGAATGATGGAGAATCTTTGGGAAATGAATTTCACTCCATGTCTGTGTAATCACTGTATGCACTTGCCCCAGGAAAAGGCATTTCAGGGCAATTTCAGCCTTTTAGTTCTGATCCTTGTGTTCTTTCCCCTTCCCAAGTTATATTTTTGATATGGTGAATGAACATTGGGGGGGTGAAAATCAAATAGTCTGAAGACTTGACACTGATAAAAATACCACACACTTCTCCAGGCTTCACCTAAGAGGTGCAGAGGCTGGCAGCACATGCAGTTTCTGTAAGAGATCTGCTCCTTCCAGACTGTTTAGGAACCCGGTAATAAGAGATTGCTTCCTGACAAAAAAAATTCCTAGTGAAGTTATTCTGCACCTTGACATCTCTTTCAGGTAGAGGTTTTCCCCCAGGCAACACGGGCTTCCACTCGAAAAGCTCAGCCATGCCTGCTCTTACAGCAGAAACAGGGACTGGGTCATGCTGAGGTCTCAGATGAGTGTGCACAGGTCAGCAGAGCCACTTATGGCAGGAGAACAGAGAACAGTCTGAGAATGCAGATGCTCCCTCAGACTCTAAAAACACTGTTGTATTGTAGAGCACAGCAAAAGCACGAAGGTATTTTAAGAATAAGGTATTAGAAATACAAAAATTCCAAATTCCCATCCTATTCATTCACAAACTAAATGTACAGACAAAATATGGTTTCTTCCCATCTGGTGCTACTATAATGCTATGTGATTTACTTGTTTTAATACAACTGGATATCCAAGAAGTACGAGCTGATGCAGATTTGTGGCAAGCACTCCATGCAGTGCTTTGCACAGCCACTTCAACTGAGCCTTCCTAGCAAGCAGCTCTCTGGAGCTGTGCAGACAGACAGAGACCCACTGACCGTGCTGAACTCTGAGTGGCAGCACAGCCTGACCCTGCGGGCCAGCAGGAGCCAATTGATGCGGCCCTAATAGCAATAAAAACTGTCCTGAACACTCCACTGGGCAGAGCTGGGCCATGGGGGCAGCAATAAAGCACTGGAAACATTCGATGGAGAGGAAATGGTGAACGTAGGCTCTAGTACTGCACTTGGCTAGAAAACAAATAAAACCAAATCGATGACAATACACAGGCCACTGTGGTGTGCTGCAAATGTGCACTGGACATCAGCTCCCTGTCCCTAAATTCTGCCAGTCAAACCATTATGTTTATGTTACCTTACACTAGTAGGGCAGTGGCAAAACCAATTCAAAGGCAAGAGAATTCCAGAATCAAAGTTACCCACAACAATCCATAAAGGTTTGCCTTTGCATTGCCACTCATTCCTTTAACAGTTTATATTTTTAAAAGAAACAGCATCTTTGAAACATCATAGTTGAGAAAGGCCCAAATCACTGCTAAAGAACTCAATAGTGGGTCAAAGCCTCCTGTGTTGCAGTCAAGTCACTCAGAAATTATTTAACCCTGAGAGAACCAACATCTCCCTAAAAGCTACCTTTAGCAAACATCTCAGTTTACCCACTGTGAACCTTCAAAGCAAAGTGAAAACTTGGATTTATTCTTTTTGGAATCTAAAAAATAGTTTGAGGTGATCAATTGCAGATTTTATTCACCAAGTTGCTGCCACTAAATCCAACAGAGTTGTTCCAGCCTGAGGGAGCAGAAAGCTACCAAAACAAGAAGAAATCAAGTAGAGCAACTTGATTTCTTCAACTTGAGCAGATACTTCACCAAATGCAGAAAATTCATATTCACTTTGTTTCATGTTCTTCTGCAAAATGAAAAAAATCCTTTTGAAGACCTGGGTAAAAATTTTTTCATTCAGAAGCTTTCACATAAAGTCCTGCATTTTCAATCACCATTCTAAATTGCTTTCGTGATACTGCAAATACGTTCCTGCTAACAATTTATATATATATACATGGAAATGTCTTCAACACCACAAAAAAAAATTGTTGCTTATAATGTAAGACTGCAATCAGACCGCATGGGGAGTCCCATCCATTTCAGAAGTTACTTACACACGTTCTTTAAGTGCCAGCATATTCTAAATGGAAGGGACAAAACTAGACAGGACAGTTGTGTCAGACAAAGCAGAAAGCAAGCTGGTGATGAACGGATTGCAAGTTTTTAAGAGGCTGCTCTGTGTTTGAAACACGACAAAAAAGACCCTTAGAAATTATTTCTAATTTAAAATTTAAAAAAATCAATTCCTGCTTCAGCAGGGCAGAAATCTGACTGTCTGCACAACCCTGAATATTAATTAAAGTGACTGCTGAAAGGGCAAAACAGCTACTAACAAGATTACTTGGATGAGGTGGAATTTAACCAACGGATGGATTAGTTCTGACTTTGCCACCTGCTCGACAATTATCTGCAGAGTATCCCAATCAATGCTGGAAACACAAGTCGATAGTGGAGGAATCCACTGAAACCACAACTGCAGTTAAAGGCAGATCACAAAGAAAAATAGTTTGCTTACACTTATCATTCTAATTTTAAAAATCTCCAAGTGCTGTGCAAACCAGTTATGTATCTTCCCCCCCCCCCCGTTTACGAAGAGAAGCCTCAAACCGCAGGAAATCTGGGACTTGGCCACCTTCCATTAGTAGACTTTACACGAGAATTGAGGAGGTGAAAAAAGAGAAGGGGGTGAAAATACTGGAAGTTTTTCCCTTGACCTCAGTGGGACCACACCTCGTTCTCAGAGCCTTGCTCCAACCATTACCCAACGGAGCATTCGCTGCAGCTGTTTTTTGTTTACACCAGAGCTGAAAAAGGAATTCTTCCTCATTAAAAAAGTTAGAAAGCAACTCCGTTAGTGTCAAGTCCCTGGGAACACTGACCCTCGTTCAAATAACGTTCAGGGGAAAACTGGACGCTTTCCAACTAACTCTTCTCCCAGGAGCAAAATGAGGCCAAAAGAAATGCTTTAATATCCATGTGTGACTCCACTTTCATCTGTACATCATTTGGGTATTTGCCATTTTTGTCTTAGCTACAGTTTGAAGGGAGAAGGTCCCAATACAGCAGCGCTGTTATACTGGGGTAATCGCTGCTTGCATAAAGTAAAATAAAAATCAGTGGCAAACACTATACAATATGAATAGAATAACAAAAGGCAAATAGCAAGGCAGAGTAAAATTTGGGAAGTCTCAAACAGAGAAGATCACTCGACTGAGCAGTTGGCCCTTATTTCAATCCTGAGCAGCGCTGCCCCATCCCCTCCCACAGCCCAGTGAAAAATCTGTAAAACATGCTCGTGGAGTAGCAATCCATTCATCCACATTTGTCACAGTTTACAGAAGCTGATGCCTTTTGCATCCTGGGTACCCTGAAGCCTTATGTTCAGACCTGAAACACACCCCAAGGGAGGTAGGATCAAGGTACTTCTGTCTCCCCAAAAGAACAGGCTGTTTGAAGGATTTTTATGTGACGGAGACAGAGTGATCTGGTGATTATGGCCTGACAGAGCACTAAATGGCTCTAAATTCAGGAGGTACTTGGATTAAAATATAAGTCCAGGTGTGGCTTTTAATTCAGTGGCTAATCAGGGGAAAAAAAAAATATATATTCCTTTAGAGGAGCCAAAGACTAGTCCTAGTTGGATTTTCAAACTGCGAAAGAAAACTGAGCAATGTGACCATGAAAAAGGACATGTGCCTAATATGGGCAGCCAACTCTTCTAGATGAGTAATAATACTTTAGACTAATAAAGCTACAATACAGCTGTTTTTAGTTATTTGGCTAATTGCCAGACAATGTCTGAAGGGACTATTTCTAAAGAGTTAAAAGATGTAGCATTAGCACTTTTTGTGGCTCAGAAGAAGAGGTCTAATTTATTCAGAATGGGAGAACTGGAGTAGTTAAGTCTATTTCTTGTCCATCATTTGCTTCTCACCACAGAGGAGCTTGGAGCATGTATTTTGAGCGTGAGAAAACTGAATTTCCATCAACGGTGTGACTTCCTTAAAAACAGAGTATTATTTATTTTACCAGCTTGTTCTGTATAAAAGGATTTGTCAAATTACAGCACTCATTCTTTTCTTATGAGGCCCAACCACCCAAGGCCCAAAATAAAGGGAAAAAAATAATCTTAATTGTTACTTATTTCTGCATTTCTTACAGGGATTTTTTTTCTCATGGTAAAAGCATAGTGATACATTCTATAATGCTCACAGTCTTGCAGCATTTATACACCATCTAATATGTTCAGAAGTAGATCACGCACCACATGAAAAAGGAAGAAACCTCTTCACTTCTTTTCCCCATAGATTGACTGCCTGAACAAAAAAGATGGGGGGGGGAAAGAGAGAGACCAAAGAGATAGTTTCCTGGAGCATACATCTGTTACCATTTCATAAGCCTGTTCTTGGGAAGAAGCCTAACGAAAATATTAGCATTACATCACACTTCAAAAGTGGTAACATTCAAGCTCAGGAGAATTCAAGCACTATTTATCATGTTTAATTATTATTTCCAGTTCAGTCAGCTGGACAGCAAATTAATTACCTTCAGATATCAGTTGGTGCTGAACTCCCCCTGGTAATGCACAGAGTGTGGTACTTGTAAGCAGAGTTGCTCCATGAATGCGGGTTTTGCAGTACCCACTCAAAGATGTAGCACATTAATGCAAAAGTCCTCAGAAATTAACCCAAAAGTCACAAATGCATCCGAGGAAGCACTCTCTGGGGGCTCACATCATCAAGATAACCAAATCCACTGCATGCAACCTCATGAGTAGTGCAGACATCTGTTAAGAATGACAATAATTTCCCCCAAGTCTTATAAAATGATAGCCACCTTTCACCTTTCTCTATGGGAAGATTCAGTCTCAGAGTAAGTAATGTCAGCTGTGCACTGGCCCATGTATGGGATGCTGGTATTTTGAGGAAATACAAGTTAAATGCAAACATGCTGTTGTGCAATAGTTACTTAGAAGCACAGACAGGTGTAGGATGGCATTTTAAGGCATCCATAAGTATTGAGCATTGGAGGGAAAGTCAATGAAAAGATGAACGATGCACATTACAGATCCACTTAATTTTTTATCCATCTGGATCTTAGTTCCTTTGAACGCAGCCTTTCAACTTCTCAACTGGAAACATTTTTACAGGTTACCATAAACACCTGGGAAACCTTTCATTTTTTTTCCAGTTGTGCGTTTTGAGCAAAAGCCTGTGCTAGACTGAGAAGTGAGAGGCACCCCAGCAAACTGCTCAGCAGTTTGACACTTCATTTCTATTTCTTCACGATACAAAGGACAAAAACTAATAGTTAATATTCTTCATAGCAGCTGATACGGGGCTGTGTTTTAGATTTTTGCTGAAAACAGCACTGATAACAGAAAGATATTTTCCTTATTGCTGGGCAGGGTCTACAGAGAGTCAAGACCTTTTCTGCTCCTCACACAACCCCACCAGCAAGTGAGCTGGGGGTGTACAAATTGCTAGGAGGGGACATAGCTGGGGACCCCAACTGACCACAGGGATATTCCAGACCATATGGCATCATTCTCTGCACGTAAAGCTTGGGGAAGAAGAAGGAAGTGGGGGACATTCAGAGAGATGGAGTTTGTCTTCCCAAGTTATATGTCATGGGAGTCCTGCTTTCCTGGGGAAGGCTAAACTCCAGTCTGCCCACAAGATGCAGTGAAGGAATTTCTTGTTTTGCTTTGTTTCTGTGTGCAGCTTTTGCTTTACTTATGAAGCTGTCTTTATCTCAACCCATGATTTTTCTCATTTTTATCTTCTGATTCTCTCCTATTGGGGGGAGTGAGCAAGGGGCTGAGTTTCCAGCTGGGGTTAAATTACAACATCTCTTTACAAAATATTTTTGCAAGGCAGAATGTATGTTTAACAAACCACTTATGTAAGATTATTTTGTAAAACTCCTGAGATTTTTACATCGCTAAGACTTTCAATTTACTTCTCACACCATGTTCCCCTCTTTTGGCTTGCTTTGGCTGTATGTATTGTATTTTGCTCATCTTTGTGGAAGAGTGCTTTTCAGGGCTAGCCTCTATATTATTGCAATGGCCTTCAAGATACTCTTTACCTTCCTTTGTTTTCCTGTAAACTACTTCACAAACAGCTGAGAGATCTTACAGTGTCTCTTAAACCTGACACTAGAATTCTGGTTAAGCTTGCCAAGATTCCTGTGTTAACAACCCTGTTTTAGTCAGGCAGGTACAGATTTTTCCATGCCTCCGCCCCTTACACACTCTATTTATTTAGTTCTTTTATGCAGATTCCTGTACCTTTCACAATGGATTGCGACTCACTTCAAATCCTCTTTGCTTTTCCTTCCCCCTCTCCACACCACGGCTGACAATATTTACTCAGTTTCTTTAGAACCTCTAAGGAGCATGAATTCTAATGTTTGAAGTTGGATCATTTTTGATTAATTAAATATATATTATGGTGGTGCCAGCAGCATGACTATAATTAAAGCTGTATTGGGGTTTTTTATTTTAATCAAAAGCTCTGATTTTCAAGTGCTCGCTCACTCCTATATGTGCTCACTCCCCATCTCTTGCTCCACATCTTTCCTCCATCTGCTTTTGCTCCTGCACACATGCTCACCCACCCATTACCTCTCACACCTGCACTCCCAAGTGCTCACCTGTGGCAAATCTTCCTCACCTGTTAAAAGGGCAGCAGGCAAAGGGCACCCCTTCAAAAAGCAGCCCACACCTTTCCCTTCCCTGGTCCCTTCCCATTGCAGCTCCAATGCAACCTCAGGAAGGCAAAGCTGGAGGATGAACCCACACTATGGAGAAAGGGGTGACTGTGAATACGTGGGCCAACCACCCCATGAAGGCAAACTTCAGATACCCTAGCTCCCTGAAAGACAATGTGCCCACCACCAAAGAAGCCCCTCCGCAGGCAGCACTTCTATATTTCAAGCTAAAAGACACGTTTGGGCTGTTTGAGATATCACAAACACTAAGATGTGCCATTCCACAGTCTCTGCCACGGTGCTGTGGTGACAACTGCATTACTTGGAGCCTATTTCCTTTCTTGAAGTGCTCCAAAGAGGTTGAGCACAAAGCACTGGACGTACAGTGTTGCCCTTTACTCAAAAGCTATTCCTTCTCTCAGCACCGCACAGTCTATCACAACCAACCACTGTGGCTTTTGCAAAATCCAGGCAAAAATTCAGCAGAAAATTTGTTTTTTAAAAGAAACATTCTATATGGACAGAGAAACCAGGTGGCTAATGAAAGCAAGCAGAAAATCCCTGAACATCCTTAGCGTAATCCAAACAACAGCTACTGTAAGCACATCCTAGAAAACTTAGCTCTCAAAACACAGCTGTGACCTTGTGACATGATCCATGTGAGAGAACACTCACACAACCTCACTCAAGCAGAAAGCTTTGCTGCTGTGGCTGCAGTTGTGGGCCAGAGCCTGTGTCTCTAATGTCTCAGGTCACTCAAGGGACACCATTAGTGTGAAACCACGCCAATGATAACAGATTTCTAAGTAACTTGAAATACTAGTTCCCCCAACACACATGAGCAAAGCCTTTTTTGTCATATGCTCCCGTATTTCAAAAAACTTTCTAAACATCTTTCTGCACAGCGGGATACCGAAGGAAGACAAGCAGGCACACACAGGGAAGACTAATGCAGGCCTGAAGTTCACTGTTGTAGTGACTCCATTTGAACGGGAGAATTTCATGGAATGAAAAGCTTCAAGTGAGCAGCTACAGTGACAGCCTGCAACAACAGGGGCCCATATTCTCAGAAGAGACAACAACTAAATCATCACAAAATCCAAGAAGTACCTGTTTGCAAAAAACCAGCATTTCTTTGGACTTGTACTAAACTTCTTGCCTCTTAGTTTGTTACTCAATTACAAAAAGTACTTTCAATATAATTGTTCAAAACAAATATGTACCTGAACATTACAGTAATGACTCTAAACAGAAGCAACATTCTGCCCTCAAGTATCAGATTATACTTTTATCTGAAAAACAGCTTAACTACATATTTATACTCATTTCTGAGAGATGTAAGACCTTTATGTACAATCTTCCGTTGTCAGTTAATGAGCAGAAGCACAGAATTATTCTGTACTTCAGAAGACAAAGCAAAACAACAGGAGATGTAGGATTGATACTGTAATAATGCATGCTAAATGTACATTCTTAGAAATATGTTTTCTTAAATGCTGCAAAGTTCTCCAACCTTTTCACAAAGCACAGTCAGGGACAGAGAGCAAGTGCAAGAAACATCTGGGTTCATTTCCTCACCCCTGGCTTCCAGACTGTCAAATTTACTTACGTTCTATCTCAAATTCTCCAAAATTTTGTTCTGTTTAAAATGTTGCAATGATTCTGTTCCTACCCAAAACACTCAAAACCCAGCAAAACCCACAACATTAACAGAACACACTAAGTCTGTTCACTGTTTTCTATACGGGTTCAAAATGCATATATGCCCTTGCTTAAAATAACTGACTGAATGCAGTCAGCTGTACAGGAGTTATTAAATACACTTTTTAGCTTTTTTTTTTTTTTTGAGACAGAGCAGCAGCAAAGATAAAATGCAAAAGAGCTCTCTATTCGAAGCTGACTTCCTGAAGGCTAAATACCTGCTTGCTGGCAGCCACGGTTTCAAAATCGAAACTCCACTTCATATCAGATATCACATGTTTCCCTTTACAATACTTCAGTATTGATGATTCATGTAATTTTGATATACAATGGCTTTCTTTAAACTTGAGCTCCCTGAAAAATGATTACTTAGGAAGCCCAGTTTTTTATTAAAGAAAATATTGATGCACAGCTTGGGATAGAAAACCTTGAAAGTAAAAACCAAGTGCAGAGCTTTTAAAGTCCAGAATGCAAACAAAACAAGAAAAAAAACCAATCCAACCTAAACCAAACTCATGATTTTATAGGGCTTCAGTCTATCAACAGAATGAAAGCATTTGTTAGCATTTTCTAAGGCAAACATTGCCAGTCACAAGCCAACAGAGCAGCCACCAGCCATTCCATAATGATACCCAGTAACTCATTTTCCTCTTTGGGAGTTTATTCCTTTTCTAGAACATGGAAACGATTTTTTTTCAGCTTGAAGCTCCCTGCAATAGGTTATTCAAAAGGTACATGTTAAACAGCAGCCAAACTTGCACAAAACTCAACTAATATTGTATTTCTGCAGCACTTATTTTATGAGTCTACATACTTTTCAAGAACAACACAGTGCTTCAGATTTATCACTAGAGGGGCAGCTAACCCCTCCCAGATCCAACCACCACACCAAAATGTTGGTGCTAAGCCCATTATAAGCCTCACCTTAACAGGGGACATAGCTAAGACTGCAGGAATAATTCTGAAGTGCTTTATAAACGCTCTTGAAACAGTAAACTCGTTTTGCAGATTAAGTACAGATGTTAGCTAAGTAGGACATGGGGTTGCACAAGAGTGCAGTTGGTGAATTGAAATCAAGTCATCCAAGGTGGTAAGTTCTTGCCTAGTTGCAATGTCTTAATTTTACAAGATCCCTTTTTCTCAACTACTCACCTCTTGTGCAAATGACTCTGCTGTCTTCCGCAGGTTCTTTTCCAGTTCAAAGTTTACACGGAGCTCTTCATATTCCTCTACTGCCATCACAGACACTGTTTATAATAAAACAAGATCAGAAATAAAAGTCGAATGGATCAAAAGAAGAACTAATGTTTGATAAGCTGTTATTCCCTAGTGTCATGAATCCTTGTCTGACAGTGTAACCTAGTTTTACATTTCTGCATACACTTTGCTTTGTCCTACTTGCTCTAAACCTCATACATATGCACAATTACTGATCTTCTGAATGAAGCAATACTCCTCTATTCAGACTTAAAATCTCCAGTAACAGACACAAGGTAGCACAGACCATATTTTGCCTCTTCGGGTCTAAGCAACCAAGGCCTCGAGAGAGCTTTGCTGACTCTATCAGAGACTGCTGTGTTATTTTTGAGGCATCTGTATTTGTCTGCCTGGTTTGAGTGAGGCTAGATGTGCCCCTTTACAACACAGATTTAAAGGAGCCCCAGGAAGAAAGCAGTGCAATTTTGTGTTGCCTGTATTTAAACTGTGCTCTCAAAAGCGAGGCTCTACGGGTGGCTAAAGCTTAATCATGGACATGCTTCCCAAACCATTCTGAACAGGCTGCAGTCCAGGACAGCAAGGATCATCTGAAAGCACTCAACTGTTTATTCTTAACATGGCTCAATGATCACTTGCAATATCTTGGTAGGCTTTAGCTCTTATTGGCTCAAGACTAGTTTGCAAGGGGATGACACTGGATTTCTAACACAGCTGTAAACAGGTTCCTTACTTTTTTGGAGATAAGCACAATACCCAATAAACAACCCACATATTTAGAAAAGCTTAAGACAAATTCAGTGCCTCTGCCTGAAATGCATCGAGTACACAGCTCCAATACAGTGCCCCACAGACACAGGATACAGTAGGTATTGAATAGATGCTCTGGTAGCTCATTTCAAGCATACAAAAAAGTCTTGCTTTATGTTGCCAGTGCATTAGGACCTAGACCTTTCCCCTTCCTTCCTGGAAAACAGGCAAATGTGAAACTAGGAGTTGTTCCTTTGATCATGCTTAGAAAAAAGAAAACATTTAAGAAACTTTTCATCTTCCACACCATCCCATCAAAATCTTTATGCTCACATGTTTCATTAATGTATCTGAAGTTTGTTGTTATAAGAGTCTTCAAATATTGCCTGTCATAAGCTTAAGCAATGTAGACACATGGAAGAGATGGACACTTGGTGGAAGCTTACAGGATATGCCCTAACAGAACTTGGCCAGACTGCCTTCCACTTCAGAAAAATGTGAAACAGCCAGTAAGACTTTTAGCCAAACAATTTTTTAATTTCACGAGGCTAAATAAGGAACAAGAGAAATGAGCACAGTAATCCAAGGCATAAAAATGTTCCCCTCCTCTCTATACTTCTTTGGGGTCAACCATTGCTCATGCAGAAGCACTCACCTTCATTAAGCAAAAGCTTTTCTTTTCTGAGCCATATCTCTTTTTAGACTTCCACTACCCTGGGTTTACCTCTCTTCTCTTTCCAGGAAAGGAAAATTTCTGATTTCCTTCCATAATTTGGAAATCTTATTTCTCACATTCTAGCACTCTAGCACCATTTTTTCATCATCCTCTGAACATAAACCAAGTCGCTCCCAAGTCTTTAGATATTCAAAATGGTTAGCTGTGTCCCAACTGAAATGAAAACTGATATAATGTTTTAGTAAAACAGGAGACTGAGGTTCAAACTCCACCTCTTGGAAGGACTGCCTTTGCCACTGCAACTTGTGCCACACAGAAAAAATGTTTCCTATCTCATGTTAACACCTGCTATTTAAATTGTCACATTTTCCTGGAGTATGGATAGGCTAGAACAGTCCATGTGTTTATGCAGTGCCTGCAGCAGTAAGGTCGAGTGTCAGATCTGGACCACAGTCACTGTTCTGTAGTCTCTTCACACTACAACACTAAAGCTCTGAGGCTTCTGCAAAGGATGCAGCAAACTGTTAAGAGAACCTGCTGAGACCACACACCTCTGTTACATTTCTCCAACAGTTTTTGTTGCTTATCAACTTCCGTTGTCAAAACAGCCTTTTCTTCTTTCAATTTATTCACCTAGAAAAGTAGAAAGAACAAACAGAAAATAAGGGCACTTTAATCAGTGGCATAAGGCACATAGCACAGCTATAATGCAAGCAGTATTTTGCTTTCATCAGCTGTGTTTCTTAGGTTTAGCTTGATGCTAGGGTTTCCAATGGGATGGAAAGCATTTTTACTCCACCTTGAGATGTCATAACAGATGTCATAAAAGGGTTATGAGCCAGTCCTCTCATGGCATGTTCCAGTCACAGCTGCAAATATCTTTGGAACCTTTCAGGATCAGGCACCTGGTTGAAGTTACTAGCTTGCCCTTGACTTTTTGCATTTTAATATAGTCAGACTTTTGGCTGTTTTTCCTGGGCTCTGTTTATTGTCCAAGAGCTGTCAGCTGTGTCTTTCTGAATGCAAGACTTGCATAGACAGGAAGAGCCACTAAGTCCTGATTTGCATCAGTACATGGCTTATCCAGTTTTAAACCAGGAATGAAACTCTGCTGGCTCAAAAAGCCAATTTGCTGGTCTAATTACCATGACAGGGTACTGCCAATGGCTAAACTTAAGGATATGCTTGATGGAGTAGCACCAGTGATTAAGCTACGTGTCCTACAAAAGTATTTCTTGCACACCTACAGGTTTAAGGAAATCCAAAAAACCCCTGCAGGCTGTGATGAGCTGTCAGGAAGGGGAGGTGACAGTTACAATATGGGCATTTGAACAGATCCCACAGATGATGAAAAGTCCATGCCAGCAGCAGGGGCTGAGGGGGCTCTGACAGAGAAGGCTCCTTGTGGGCACACAGCCCGAGTGATCCAGTACGGGCAGGCTGGCAGGACTCACGATTAGATAGGATTCAATTAACTTCACAACTGAGCCTTTCTAGCAAAATTAGATACAAAAAGTACCGACTACACGCTAGCACGGTCTCGCCTTCCATGGTACAATACATACTTCTTCAATTACTTCTACAAGTTTGCACCTCAGGTTTTCCAGTTCAATGGCTAAGGTCTTCTTTTCCTCATGAACAGACACGACTTGATCTCGCAGCTCTGCAGTTTGAGGAAGGAAACGAAAAATACATTTTATTCAAAAAACAACAAAGGAAATGTCATAGCAATGGGAGTACGGCTGAGTACGAAACACCCAAACTGCACATCGAGCATCAGTTATAATCAAGGTACATCCTCAATAATTTATGGAATTTGCACAAGTGTCAAGTAACAGATCTATAAGAGGGCTACAGTTTCAGATTTACTCTGTTGAGGTAAGCTGCCTTGTTCAGTACTGCAGTCTTTTATTTGCATCCTGAATGATTCATTTCCTGCTACAGTGGGGCCAATCCTGCCACCACAGAGTGTCCTCAGTCCTACTCAGGAGACTGTCACGTCACAGAGACTCTGGTATGGAGGCAGCAGAAAGCAATTTTTAAGAGGCGTCCTTTAAAACAAATTAATGCACTTTAATTCTTTTTGGATCATGAGTTCTTGTCACAAGGGAAATAAACAAAACAACAGGCAGTTAATACTTGGGAGGTTTTCACTGAAGAAATTGTCCTGAACAGCTGCCAATTTATAGTCTTTGTAACATTATGTGAACAGAGTCAGAATAAACCTTTACTGATGGAAGAGCTAATGCTTGTAATTTTCCCCTCAGAATTTTTATTCCTTAATTATTAAAATATGAAATAAATTAAAGTCACAATGGAATAAAACATTTTATTATAATCACTTCTTAACAGGAGATCAGTTTGCATACATAATATATCAAGGTTTAGGTTAACATAAAAACACCAGAAAAAATAAAAATTTATTGATATATATTAGCTTTCAGTAAGTGCTCTCATTCCCCACCTGCTTCCAGTATTTCACAGCAGTGCCGTTCAGTGAATACCAGCCACAAGTTGGGAAAATTGTGGCTAATCAACTGCAGATGATGATGACATCCCAGATGTCATTCTGTTTGGTCTCACATCTTGACAACATCGATTCTACACCAGCATCCCCCTCCCAGCTCAGGAGCTTCAGACTTACTGTCCTCTAAATTAAAGGCCTACGCTTTCTAAAGTAAATAAAAAGACCTGTGTTCCCAGAAGATTCTGGAACCAAATAGTCTGTTTTATGGATTTGTGTTTTCCAGCAACATTAATGAGGAAAAAAGTCTCACTGAAATTATTAAATCTGGTTTTACAACACATATATCAACCTCATCAGAGAAGAAAGCATATCCACATACTACAGAAAGCCTCAGACTTTACTACCTTATCTGTGTATCTTTACAGAAAAGTGGTAGGAGGGAAGGAATCACTCCAAGAAACATCCAAGACTTTGCTGAATGGTGAGAAGGACTTCCAAAATCCCCAACATGCCACTTTTCATTCTTTAATGAATTCTTCATCAAGACAGAAAGCAGATACATCAGAGCCTTTCTAAAATATTTCCCTAATTTGACTGCTATCCTCCTAACAGTGTCCTCCTCTGATCTGCAGCCTGTCTTCACTTTCCTTAAAAGTATTCTTGACATCTTTCTCCAGGAATGACAGGAGGGACCTCAGAGTCTTATTTCCACTTCAGGTGGGATCACATCATTAGCTGCCGCTTTCCTACATCTACAGGATGGAAACTGGCTTCTTAAGGATACTGTGACACCTTATTTCTTGGGTGGGACTGTTTTAAAAGCATTTTTACACTATTTGGTCTTTTTTCTCAGTGGTACTTTGTACCACTTCATTGTTGCCACTGCATTTAAATAGAAAAAATTAACAAGGTCAGGCTGAAAGTTCAGAAAAGCTGTGCTTAAACATCATTTGCTACTGTAAATTGCAATCAGAAAAAATACGAAAGCTTTTTTTTTGAAGTGAAATACTCAATTGCTCTTGTCACTAAATCCAGAATGTGGGCATTCCCCTTTTTTACTATGACACAACAGAATCACCATGATTTCATCAAAGGAACTAGAAAGGAAGGCTGATTCTGGATTGCAGAAATACAAGCTGGCTTTCAAAAAAGAACTAGATATTTCTGAAACAAAGCACAGATTTCTGTTATTAATATATTTCCATGTTCTCAAGCTTTCCTGTTTTACCCAGTACAACAGTCCCTTTTTAAGCTGCTTGTTTAGTAATAGCTCTGGAACATGAATGAAGTTTATGCATACAAAGGTGCATAATGTATACAGCAACAGAGTCCTCTATTACAAACTTTGAAATAGCAACAAGAGCAGTTGAAGCAACACGAAAGTGATCTTGTCCTTCTGCTAAATTTACTAAGTGTCTCAGGAAATACTTCTTTTACTGACTCAGTAACACTGAACTCTGTTAGCTGTCCATCTCACTTTGCTATTGCACTGTAACTCACTTAGCAGGCTGCATATCCCCCGGGTTTGTCACACAGCATCACTGCCAGCCCACCACCTTCTGACAGTCAGGCCTGGAAATCCTTTCCTTCTGACCACGTTCACAAGTGTGGCTCAGAACCAGACCATCTCTGGTACAACCCAATCCTGCTATTCTTTAGACAACTTCTGCCCTGTAGGGCGGTGTAGGATCAGCAACAATGCTCACCTTTTATTTGCTGCTGACAATGCACAGAATTGCATGACCCAGAGCTAGTTTCCGCATCTGTGGATGATTCATCTTCATCAATGTTAATCTCTTCAGTGATAATTTCTGGGCCCAGTTTTGCCATATAAATCATACTAATTCTTTTCAAGGTCTTATTTTCTTTGTTCAGCTGAAAGTTAAGAAAGACAAACAGTAAGCAGTTAGCCTGTGTTTAAGCTGTGTGAGTAAAAAAAAGTCAACTGTTTTGTTTTTTTTTTCCTCTATCACTAAAAGGTCTATCAAACAAAGAAGACAAAATAACATTAGATTAAGTGTTCCATTCAAAATTAAAATGGTCTAAAGATGGGATGCTCATCCACCTCCTTCCCTCAGATAGGCTTGAATTGAACATGATGCTTTATTTGTGCCCTTCCTTCCTCTCTGGTACTTCCATTTAATAAATACTCCGTGTAGGTTCAAATCAATCAAATCACCTATCAAGCTTACTCAATGCTACACATGCTTTGTGATAGCTGATTCACCTCCTCGCCCTTAAGCATGTACCACCATCAAGAGTCCCAACTGACCGACCTGAAGAAGAGTCTGTCAAAGTACTTTACTTCCAGTCGCAACAGAATTACCTCAAAATTCTTTTCAGTTATTACTGGAGAGTCAACAAGAGTAAGACGAGAGTCATATCATAAGGCAATTCTTTCTGGGTCAGACCACAAGTCAGAATGGATGCTTAAGCACATGGTTGGCTGGTGGATGATACGGAAGAGGTTCTGTAAGGCACCTGTCTTAACAAGGTGCCAGGAAACACTGAACAGGGATTGCTGCAAATCTTTCACTCTCCTTTCTTTCACTGTCCTGCATCCAGAGACCCCATGGCAGCAGCTCCCTGTAAGTTTAACATGGGGGTGTTCAGGTGTATGTCAGGGTGACTGCTCACCCACCAGCCAAGCATCCCCCGTGTTCAGGTCTGAGAATGAGACTCAATTTTCTATTAATGCCATACTACGTGTCGCAGTCAACATGGACCTCAGACGTCCAATACACACCTTTAAAGAAAACATACACTGTACAGGTTTTTTGGCCCTGAATTTTTATTTAAGCAATCATCTTTGATCCCCCTTTACCTCAACCCCTCAACTAGGGGAGATTTACTCAAGAACTTCTTCATCTCACTCCCAAAGAACGAAACTGAGCAAGTGGGAAGGGTGGTGTGAGGGACCTTAGATGGTTTACTCAGCTCACTGCAACAAACACAGCAGCTTTCAAAAAAGAGCCCCATGGGGTAAAGTGAGTCTTTGAACTGCCCTTGTACATGCATTACAGGAAAAGTGCAGAGAAGAATGAAAGTTGCATAAATGCGTTCATTTTCTTACTTATATGCTGATTGTCTATCTTATGAATTCTAATATAGTGTCATTATGCAAACAATTAAGTAAATACCTCCAGAAAGTACATTGCTAATGCATCTAAATTAAAGTGATTTCTTGCTGGTGTGATTTTTACCATATCTAAGGATGTACTTTGGGCAGGGAAGGGGGGAGGAGGGGGGAAGAAAAAAAAAGGCAGTCAGCATTGCTAATGAAATTTGGTTTAAAATTGCTGTAATCCATTTTCTGATGAAGTGGCTCAGATGCATTTTACACAACCAAAAATATATAAGAGAGATAAAAACATTCTTTAATAATAATGCACTTCTGATGAGATGGAATATAGAAAATTACACACTTGCTAAATTCATCAGACTAGACGCAATCAACAGAGCAGTGGAGGTCACCTTTCCCCTGCCCTCGCTTTGCTTTCATAAACAATCACCTGAAATGTAATGCAGTGGTTGACTTTTTCCATTTGATTTAGATACTGAAAAGCTCATTATTGTTTTATATTTCACATAGGAGAGTTCTAAAACTTATTTTCCATTTAACCTAAAAGCATATGAAAACTAGGTATCAGGATGCTAGTCCATGAAAATAGAAACTAAACTAGAATGGGTGTTCTTTTTCTTTAAAGGCAGGAATTGTATTTTTCATCTTGCACGCAGTTTTTATTTTTTTGCCATTTCAAAGATCTGCAAGATTATAAAAAAAACCCAATTTATAAGGGACATGCACACAATCTCAAGTTTAAAATAAATAAATAGATCAGATATAACAGCATAACCACCATCTCACCTTAGAAGCCAAAGCCTCAGCACTTTCACGGCACGTCTTCTCAATTTCAAGATGGTTCTGAATACAATTTACTTCCTCAATAACCATGTGAGAAACTAAGGGAAGAGTTCAAAAATTAGTCAGTATTTTCCTGCGTTTGACACATGCTTCCCATGATCAGAAACAGTACATCATTTCCTGCCAACTTTCAATGTAAGCATTTCAAATACAGGGCAGTACATACCTAGATAATCTCCACAGATGGGAACAGTCTTGAACACTGAATATTTGCTTGGTTTCTTTAAGCAACTCTCTCAAGCATTAGAGGGGCAACTGCAGAACTGAGCATACACTTCTGGAAGCAGAAGGCCAGCAGGAGCCTCCCTGACCATTCTCATTCATCATAATTTTTTCACTAACATTTGAGGAATCAGAGTGAGACCTTTAGAACTGCCCCTTAGGATTGCCATCAGAATCCTCTTGAAAATTTGGTATGGACACCATTTTCAGAAGATTGGAACCTCAGTATTTTTAAACTGCCAGGTTAACTCAGGAGTGTTACAAAGATTCTTTTTACTTTCCAGTGTTCATGTTTGCATGGTATTTCAAATACCATCACACTTGCCAAACACACTGCACATGAAGAGCTGCGAGATGGACATTTAGCCCAGGCCTGAAGCAGGTTTACTAAGAAATGGAGAAAGGAGTTAAGTGACTGAAGCCTCCGTATTCACAGCATCTCCTACAGCATGTGCTCCAGTGAAGTCAAATCACTGCCACAGCACAGCTGCTTCACCTCATTCTACTCCGTCCCGTTCAGAGCTCCCTGCAGCAGCAGGATGGATGCAGTCCTGAGGGAAACTCAACACTGCTGGCACTGCCTGATTTTCTACAACCACAGCTGAACAACCCAAGTTACTACATGGCTGTAATGTCTGAAGTGTTTCTTATTTGAAGTCTCTCTGTGCTTGAGCATGCCCTAAAACAAGCACCGTGGTTTCAGCACCTACCTTCCCTGTCCACAACACAGATTCCACCACACCCCACACACAATTGCCCCTGAGGCCAGGGCCAAGCCCCAGCTGTCTGACGGTGTCTGAAACACATGGCTCTGCTACCACATTTGATGTCACAGCTGCAGAAGCAAGGGAGACATCTGCACTGATGGAATCCCCATTACAACAGTGGGTACATTTCAGTCTGTCAAAGACAGGCAATATTCTTAGAGTGACCAAAAGGTTATGGAATAAATCTTATTTTCTAACATAGGATACCAATGTGAGTTAGAGGAAATTTAAAAGTACAAATATGCTTTGGCTTGCAATTCCACTCAACTTCCAGCACTACGAAGGTACTAGTGTTGAAAGCCTTTTTCTAAGGGACAAGCTTAGAGTTGCACAGGAGAGCAAAGCAGAAAACCCAGGAATAGTTTTCCATTTCTCAGGCTAGCACCTTTCTAACCGATGCAATTCCCCCTTGGCTCCTCGCACCCTCATCCGTCCCAACCAACAGCCTGGACCCTAATTCTTGAAGTCATTAAATGGCACAGACTCCTTCTCAGCCCAGTGCCAGGATTTCAATGCACAGAAAGGAATATTTGCAGCTGAACAACACTCTGGAGCAGGAACAAGGCTGGAAGAATACAATGTGAATACGGAGCACTTTACTAGTACGTCCTTTTATTTTTATCAAGATAAGCTTTAAAACATAGTGATTTTATACCACTGGGTAGAAAATCCCCCTTGCCCTTTTCCCAGAGTTTTGCCTAAATACTGAAGAGGGATATTTAAGTCCTCTTTGATAAGACAGAGGTCATCTTAATGACAACAAAACAGAACTTCAGGATAGAAAAAAACAGGTCATTAAGAAGTGTTATTTACGCAGCTTTATACTAGTGTCAGCTAAAGTTTTCATTGTTAAAGTTTCATCAGTACCATAGGAAAACAGCAACACATTGGTTTGCTGAGTAGCTGCATGAAAGAAACAGGTTTTACAAAATATGAGCAGACAAAAAAAAAAAAAAAAGGCAGGGCAGAGTATAAGAAATCTTGGTCCAAAAACTACATTCACATGAAGTCTTCTAACAGCAGAGCAACCATATCTCCTTTTTATTTCCATTTTTCCTGACTTTGGAGAATTTATCTGCTCCAAGTGTGTCATACCAGCTGCTACATTTAATTTGAAAGAGGACAAGTTTCAGATAGTACATGTTCATATCTCTTCTGATTTTTTTCTACCTAGCTCTAAGAACTTGGAGCAATGAGATGCTTTGGGCTGGATGAGGGAACAGTGGAGATAGAGTTGCTCCCATTTCACAGACAGGAATCTAATGGCCTCAAGCAAGGCTAAAGTTAGGAAACAAGGACTGGGCTCACATGGCAGAACTAGGGATTACTCTTGGTTCATTTAAACTTAATTAACCTGCAATTATGATTAACTCAGGGGAAAAAGTCTTTCCAAATTAAATACAAAAAATATATTATTTCCTAAGTCTGTCTAAAGTTCTTATTATGTCAATATTAATATTCATAAAGCAGCACTAAGTGGCCTGAAACATCTCTAACCTTGACAGTTTTTTTCAGGGGTAATAATAATCCGCAGCAAATGCAGGCCAACCAAAAACCACTTAACTAATTAGTAGTTGCAGTCACTGAGAAAACATGAATCAACACTGTTATTACAAGTGGCACATTTGAGTGGCATCTAATTATGACTTGATGAGCACGATACTTGCATTATCAACATTACTACTGCATCCCATCAGGGACTAAAAGCCGCTGATGGCATTGACTGCGAGAAACTCCCACTCAATGGTACTGCAGCACCCAACAATCTCCTTGGCAGGGGCACCCTCACTAAATGACATGTTAAGCGTAATTACTGGTAGACATTGTAAATAAACAGGATTGGAAGTGAAAATTGTACCAAGTGCATAAGACACAATCTGACACATTGGAAGTGGCAGCCTTAATTGAGAGTTTCTTTGACTGCTCAAGATCATTTCAACTGCATTTCTCGGAGGACAGTGATTATAACTGTGGAGACAGACGGCATAATGGTATCAGCACTGCTGACAGAGCAGTGAATTAAATTGTATCTGCTGTTGTGTGAAAGCCTTGATGAGAGGTACAGATCCTTAGTGGTCTTATCATTATAACACAATGGTCATGTTGTCATCAACCTTGCTGGCTCCAATTGAAAAGAAATGATTGTGTGTTGAAGCTTTCCCCCCCACCACCACCTTCTATCTCTTGTGCTCAATAGAACCAATTTTGAGAGAGCTATGAAATCACGCAATAGGGCCTAAAATGCAGCTGCTTGGCATACAAACGGGGCCCCATTAAACTGGAATCACACACAATATGTGTTTATGCCAGGAGAACAAATAGAAGCTGAGTACAGGCCAAGTTTATTCACAGACACAAAGCCAATGTAGCTCTTCATCAATATAATTGCCTTTTATATTGTCGTTTAAATAATGGGCTCCATTATTGCTTTAAAATCCTAATATTCCTGGCATTTTATCACTATGTTTACAAGGTATGTCCTTTAAAAATGTGAAAGGAAGATAAAAGAAACCTATAAAATCTTACATCATCAAATATTACTTCAAATTTGAAGTCTTAAGTACTTGACATTTTCTGCCACACTCCAGTATTCCTCATATCATAACAAAAACAAAACAGACAGCAGGTTTTTTCCAGAGAAATTATACTTCTTAGAGAACATTCTTGCTTCACAGAACAATTATCTAAGATCATTTAAGGCAGTAGATAATTCCTGTTGATTTTAGATTATCTTCCATAATTGTATCATATGAACCATTATAAAACAGAAGTGAGCAAATTCCTCTATTAACACAGTCACACAAAAGTACAGACCATGTGATTGCCTTCTCCTGCATTAACTTCATCCACATTTCTGATGCTTCATCGTGCAGTTCACCGTACTGGCACAAACCAGACATAAAAGACCACAGTCCTATTGTAATTGTCTCTTCTAAGGAGCTATTCCACCAGGATACTTCCACTCCCATTAGATGTGCTTTGTTGCCTCCAGACACCATACTGTTTCAATAGAACCATTACCATAAAAGTGTAAAACTGAGTATTGACGTTCTCACAGCCCAGACAAGATATAACTTGCTCTAAAAACGATCAGGAGAGAGCAGTTCCTCCTAAAAACCTTTACTGGTGTGTCTGTGCTTAATGTACTTTTAGTCCTTCGTGGAAAAAAAGCCATTATTATTATTATTAATTTCAGCAATAGTATCAAATTCCATTCACTCCAAGCACGTATCGTTCCAAAAGTCACTTGCAGGATCCAGGTGAAATAGAGACATACCTGTACCCCTGCATTTTCACCACTTTGCACCTTGAGATGACTACCTGTGTTACAGTACAAATGTTGTAACAGTAGTTAGTCTGACAATGGCCAAAGTCTCACTGAAATAGCTCCTTAAAACACAGCCTTGAAGGGGAAACAGCAAAGTGGATCGAATCTCAGCATTAACACTGCTGTAGAGAAAGCCTGTTCCTAAACTGTCTACATCGAGAAAATCCCACTAACATCATCAGCTTACTTTTCTGAAACTCCTCCAGTTTTTTGACAGCCTCATCTCGTTCTTGCTTGATTTTGTCACACTGTAGGAGAAAGAGAAAACTGAAATAAAACACTGATCCAAGTTATTTAATTAGCAGTCAGTCACAACATGCAAAATCAACAAAGATCAATTGCCTGCACAATAAGGTTCAGAAGCCTATCTAAGCGTCATTTCTCTTTCTTGTCAGTCATGTAAGATCAATGGATATTATGCATAAAAAATTCCTAACCAAACTGGCAAGTTGTACTTGATTTTAGGTTCCAATTCAGAGCTACTCCAAAGATATTTTAGGAGAGACACATTATCCAAAATTGATATAAACAGTCATTACACCAACAGTAAAAGCTCCTTGCATGCTTTAAGTCTAGTTTCTTTAATACAGATAGACTCGGAAAAGGGGCCTACATTACCTACCGTGTGCAAGGAAAACCTCAAGCCAATAAACAGGGACATGCTGTTTATTTTCATAACATTACAAGCAAAGCTTCAGCCTTGTAGAGGGGAAGACACTAATTTTTATGCTTTAAGGATTTCCCACCACCTCAATTTTATTAATTCTGGGGTTAATGTTAACACTGCACAGGGCTGCAGTGATCTTATGATGGAAAAGTTTCTTCAAAGAGAAAGAATAAAACAGATGTTAAATAGACTTCTCTAAGAAAACCCCTTTGATAAGTAAATGAAAGAACTCAAAGAAATGAGTAAACTTCAGGAGAGGGACAGTCAGTGATTAACCACAGTGTGAAAAACACATGACCCAAGGAGAAGTATGACTGGCACACAACACGGCGTACCAGACATCCTTCCTCACATGCAGCTGTGCATGTTCACAGCAATAAGTACACGTACCACCAGGAGTTAACTTATGGAAGAGATCTGTGTGACTGAGCTCCTTACAGTGCAACTCCAATTACAAGGATACTGGCTACTGGAACAGAACTGGGAAGAAAAAAACAAAACCCTGAAATGATTTTGCTCGATTTTCAGGTTTTCCACATGAGGAGCCACTTTGAGTTTGCAGGAAAAGGAGCTTGCTGTTAAGTAACAAGAGGGGGGAGAGCCCAATTCAAAGGCAGCCAAATTCAAGAGAACCCTTCTATCGGCTCCGGAGGACCCTGGCCAAGGCCCAGAGAAGGATCTGCTCTTGGGCAAGGCGAGGATGCCATTGGTGTCACCGCGGGGGCAGCCTCCACAGAGCTGATGGCTACCTGGGGGAGGAAAAGCGGCTGCACCCAGCAAGCAATCTCTCTTCTCGTGGCACTGGGGGGATGAGGCAAAGGACAGGGGCTGAGTAGGGGGGACAGGTCAGTCACCAGCTGCTGTAAGATCTGTGAGACAAGGCAGAGCTGCAGAAGGAGCGGGACGTGCCAAGCAAGCGGTGCTGGACGAGGACTCACCGTTTCATGTGGCCCTGTTAACAAAGAAGCTGTTCAGAGAATCCTACACAGGAGAGGTGAGGAAGGGAAATGTGTGCGTGACTCCTGCTGCTCACTGCCCTCCCTCTCAGTTTCCTCAGCAAAAATTTGTGTCACCTTACTGGAGAAGTGAAGTCTAAGAATGGAAGGCAGTGAAAGACAGGGGTAGTATTTCTGACTGTTCCTGCAGAGCACAATTCTGCTGCAAGAGGGGTATCAGTGTGAGCCGCTGCCTCTTCATATTTTACAGAAAAAACACTGTGGCCATGCTGGCATACTTCACCCATGGATTTTTCTGCATGCTGCAAGCTTTCAGCCCACTGCACATTAAGGGAGCAAATGCCTTTAATGCTCAGTTTAGAAACCAGGAAGATTAGCATTTTAAGGATCTGATCTGTTGCCTATGGAAGTCAATGAGACTTTTCTACTGACAGAAACCTTGACGTAGAGGACATAGTATACTCCCTATCCCAACGACAGGAAAAACTCCTTTTAAAATTCACCAGCAACAGCTTTCCCTGTGCAGTGAAAGGGGAAGTTAAATGACCTATTCCACTTCACCTCAAGTGCTATTTGCAGAGAGAGTTCCATTTGGACCACGGCAAGCTGACTGTTCTCATAACTGTGACATTTCTCTGCACAATCAGGGTCTCTAGGTTTGGGTCTCTGCAGAGCAATTCCTGCTCCCACTTGCAGCTTTCTCAATATTTTCCTTTTGCTGCTACCGTGCTTCGGAATGAAAGAGGAGGAAGAAAAGGAGAGCGGGAGATTGCTGCCCTTGCTGAAATGATCAATGGAAAGCACTTTGCCTTCTGTCTTGCAATCAGAGCCGTGCAAGCAGAGCTGTTACAGGTCCTTAAAAAAAGCAAACAAAAAACAAAAAACCAAACCCTAGTTCATCTCCTAATAATTAGAAAAAGTTAAGATTGAAAGAATACAAGTAATTAAAGGCAGACTAGAAGGTTATACAAAAAAAAAAAGCCTGTAAATTAAGTTTCATAATAAAATTATTGTCACCCTTTAAAATAAATTGACCTTACTTTAAAACAAATAAGTTTAAAAATATCAAAATTTAGAAGTGTGAGCTGTACACAAAAAGCTGCACAGACACCTTCAAAGTTCACACCAACTCCATTTCTCAAAAAAGAAATCTGAGGCATATACAGTACAATTGTTAATTGATAAAAGTATAAGTAATCCTAAATAATAAAAGGCAAATAGTATAACATTACTATAAAATCTGCTGTTCGCTTTTCACATTCAAGCACATGTAACTGCTGAAGAGAAGTTTCCCTTGTCAGTATTAAGGGATAGCTCCATACTCAAGAGTACTCTCAAATAAAAATAAAGAATTCTGTAACTCCTGGATTGTTTGTCAATTTTCTTTTTTTAACTTCATTTTGTTAAGAGTTCCAGCTTCTCTGCAAAGGAAAACAAGCATTTGTTCAATACTATTTAGTATATTTTTAATCTAATATTTATACTACCATTATCCCACTTGAAAAAAACTCAAAGGAAACCAGAAATATTCCAGTCCTGAACTAGCTACAGGTTTCAACGATAATCTCTTAGCAATTAAGAGATGTTGCATCTGTATTTTTAAAAACAAATCCAATAGCCATTCATTCTGTGAATAACTCCATACAATTGTTCATCTTTGCAGGCACAGGTTCAGAGGATCTGTCGATCCCGCTCCGTTTCAGATTATTGCCTTCAAGGCACCAAAGCCACGAGGCAGCACCTTACTTTCTAGCACAGAGAACTGACATGCTGACTAATTACAAGTAAACCATGCACATGTCAAAGATCAGTGTTCAAACCAGATACTGCCTATGTAGACAGTAACTAACATTACCTCAGCCTGTGCTGGGGGCGAGAACAACACCAGGATAGCACCACATCATCCCAGCAACCTGATACTGGAGTGTGAGGATGGGAAGCTGATGCAGTCAACCAGCTGGAAGCCACACACCCACTCCCACCAGCCTTATGATTCTTTGCCACTAATTCCAGGGAGGCCTGGGTTTCTTGTCTATTCTTTACTAACAGGCTTCTTTTTTGCCAACTATTTTGCACATAAGCTCCTACTGACTTCAGTAAAAGGCCTTCAAAGGGCAAAAACAAGGAGGAGATTGTTCAGTCCAGATATTGGGATGCAAGAAGTTCACGTAGTAGTCATATAGTCAATTAAGCCATTGCTAAGCAACACAAGACACAATTCTTTCCCGTTTACACAGATTGTGAAATTTATGCAGATTTAATGCTTGTTCTAAAATTATGAGTTTGGTACAGCGCTCACAAGTATCCAATGACATTTGCTATACTCTACTTACAGAAACAATGAGCATGTCATCAAGGCAGAATCCCTTTCCCATTCCCATTTGGTGACAAAACATATAATCCACTCTATACATGTGCTTTAACAGAGCAAACATCATGAATGATGTATCAGAGATACAGTATTACACCTACTGTTTTGGATAGCTGTCTTGCTTTTTTTCCCCCTATTGGCAGCCTGACAAAACACTGTCAAAACCAGCGTTCAGAGTCATTTCTGTCTGATTAGCAAGTAGTCAAATATTTATTCATGATCTGACTCTGAATATGTCAGAACTGCATATTAAGTTACCCATATTTGTGTGCAACTGAACATTAGTTATCTATTTTTGGGGGACTGGTATGCGTGTTCAGTCAGCGACTTCAACAAAAAAGGTGACCTAAGAGACATAATCTGCCAATATAATTTTTGCTTCAGTTTCTGAAAGTATTTAAAAATGTTAATGAAAAAAATGTCTGTGGCAATACTGCCAGAGACCTCACCAGTGGTCTTCACGTTGACAGTTTCTCAAGGCAATGAGGAAGAGACACCGCGGATCAAAGATCTTGCATTCTGCTCCTGAATTTTCATGTCTATTAGCATCCTTTTAAAGCAGTAGTGCTTTGAACAAAGCAACCTACATAAAAGTCAATTTACTTTCTAATCTTAAGAAAAAATATGAAACAAAGAGCATAGATTTTCAAAAATTACAATTTTATCTTAAGTTAGCTGTCCATTATCCACCAAGTTCCATGTGACTAACAGGAACTAGGCTAATTTCTGCACACACAGCTCATCTCTCAAAGCCATATGACTGCAGCAGTGACTTAGAAAAATCTCCCACCAACTTTGTCAAAAGCACATACACACAGACAGCTATCTAACTCCTGTGTGGTACTTTCCACAAATAGTCTGCAAGTCACCTTCTAAAAAAATTAATTTCTCTTCTCTTTGTCCTGATACAAAGGGAGCCTTTTCTTCTGAGCACTTCTTCTGAATAGTGAAAATAGAGGACAGATTTCCTAGGCTGAGACTGGTGTAGAACAGCATAACTGGAATGCAGCAAGAAGCCCAGCGAAGAAGACAAGGAGGTCAGTGGGTAGGAGGGAGTGAGGCACAGCATGCTGACCCCAGTGGAAATACATGGAATCACTGCTCCATCGTAACTGAAGGCAGGTTTCAAGTTTTCTTTAGTAATGAGAAAGTAGTTAAGGACAAGGTCTTCTCAACACAGTCTTGAATTGCACCATTTATAACTGGATTAAAAATGACCCTTCCAAAATTACTTCAGAAAAAGCAAAATTAAAGCTACATGCCTTGGCAGCTAACAGGGATTTGAAAACTAACAGGTGTCTTCTATCTTCAGCTCACTAATACTGGAGAAAGGAGAATTTTGTTTACAATACAGTGTAGCACTGACTTCCTCCTCTGCATTCCTCCTGATAAGAGGCTCTCAGCGACCACAGTTCCTTTCGGAAGGTTATCTGCAAAAAAACCTTTTGCACACTGACATGGATTTTGCCATGCAGCACTGCCATCACATCTCTCCCAGAGTCCTCTGCTCCCAATGGCTTCCTCTCAGGAAGCAGGTTCGTCAAATGAGATCCCTCACCAAAGAGACACCTTACCAAAGGTGCTTAATTTCACTATTAGAAAGACAGTTCAGTGTAACTACAATGAGCAATCTAGGAAGCAGGTATTATTTCTTACTCCAGTATCTCTGAACATAAAAAAATGAAGCTTGCACTAATGTATGAAGTTCAGACCATACAATCAAAGCTTCTTTTCAAGTTGGACAGGCACACAGATGTCACAGAAAGATGTGTGATATCCTGAGAATTCATTTTATGCTGCAGTACCATTCTGCAAGTTAGGACATCTTGCTCCCCTATTAAAAATTGGGTGAGATTTGAAGGAGGAATGGGAAGGGGAAGATTTTAAATACCTTTAGAAATCATATTCCTACATTCTGAATCTTCAGGAGGGCTGGGTAAGGGAAGTTGTCCTATTTTTTCTTCTCAGTAAGTCCGTCCCTTGTGCAAATCAAGTCGTAACAAATAAAGCTTTAGATCCAAGAGAAACAATTTTATCTAAACACATGAGTTGGTCTGTGCTCACACTGTAATCACAGGCAAAGTGGGTAGAGCAGCCATCACTTAAAATATATTTATACAAACCTTTCTGGAGTGGGACAGCCAGAATAGTTGCGGGAGTTGCACTTGTTGCTCCTTAAAACATACAGGTACAAGTAATGCTTATTACTAGTAAGTATCAGTGAACTCAAAAAAGTAGACAACAACCTGCCATGGTCAACAAGATACTCTGATATTTAGCATTTTAGCATTAAATGAATAATTGTTATATATACAAACCTCTTCTTTCGTTTTCTTATTTTCTGCTCTAAGCTCTTCATATTCACCAACAGCTATACAAGAAAAAAAAAAAAAGAGTTAATATAGCAGCACCTCTTCCCAAATTAGCTCTCCATTTCATTAAGTTGAAAACTCTTCTGTGTGCTTACACAGACTTCTTAAATAACATGGGTCATAAACTTCATTAACAGCCTATTAATGGCCTATGAACTGGATATCCTTCTAGAATTGAAGCAATTAGAAAGTGTCTGAAAAAGATGGTAGCTCCCAAAACAATCAATTTTTGATCAATGTAGAGTTAAACAATCTCATTGATTGAGTTCAAAAATACAAGGTGAATATACTGGTTTGCAGTCACCATTTTAATCCCACACTGGCTCAGGTTACAGATCAATGCCAGAAAACACAGTTAATGCCATACATAGGTACCTCCAGAGTAGCTGAGCACCTTTCTGTATTTATTTGTTTATTAATATTTTCTTCCAACAAGAGTCCTATGAAAGGTATTTTTTGTCTTTAAACTCCCCATGGAGACAAGAAAAGATTGTACGATTTGCCCAAGATCACAAGAGCTCAGCTGCAGGGATCAGCAGGAAGGGATCAACCTCCAGGATTCTGGGAGGCCATTGTTTCAAACCAGTAAATAATGTGCAGAAACAATCTATCAGCTACCAATTAAACTTTCAGTTTACTGTATATTTTTGTGTGCCCCTCGTAAACCTTTTATTTTACTCCCTCAGGGATGTGCCATCATTGCCACAACTTCCCAGTTCCATTCTTATTTCAGTGTGTCCCACATGGGCTGTTCGGCCTTCGGGACCATAGAAATTTTATTGTCACCAGAAAGAAGCTGAATACACCTCCAAACTTAGAGAAACAAACTTTTCTAGAAAGGAACACTGGTCGGTCTTCAAGACATACTGCAAGAGTGGAATGAAGGGACTGCTGACATCACTACGGATCTTATTCCAGTCCCTCGGCATTTCCTCAAATTTTGCCCTGTACCTAGCAGAAGCTATACTAGCGTACAGGATTTCAAGCTAATTTAAACTGGATAAAGGGTACGAATAGATAGTTTTCAGCTGCTAATATCAGAGATGTTAGAGTTTCCTCTTGACATGTCTTACCCTTCATCTGAAGACATGAACACGTAGACTGCTAGATCAGCCACCTGAAAACCTACTACCTCTTTCTAGCTTTAGACAGTTAAACTTCTTCAAACAAGAAGCTCTTACAAAGTTACACTTTACACTGCTGTGACAGCCCTCTCTCCCCTCCCCAGCATTTCAAAATCTCCTGAAATAAAATTAATTCAACTCACTCCTGAAGGTGAGGTCTGGCATCACTGTTCTGCTTGCCTTCAGCATGCAGCAGCACACAAGTACCTCAGAGGTAAAAACCTCAAATCAGCCTAATTTCTCTCTTCTTCAAGATCACATCATTTTAGAGATGAAGTCTGGGATACAGGCAGCAGAATTAGCTTCTGGCTAGCAACTCAAAACAGGACTCTGCTCCCTGTGTGCCCTGACCAGCAATGGGGTCACGACAAGACCCTGCTGACTGTATTAGCTAGAAAGAGAATACAGGAATGACAAATCTCTCAGCCAGAATCTCAGCTCTGCTGTGACCGACCCATGTAGAAAAATTTCTAGGCTCTCCAAGAAAAAAAAGTTAAATAAAAAAGCTTAAAGTGAAGTCCACATGCAAACTCACAAAAAAAAATCCTCACTCCTGCTCATCCAAGTAAAAAGGGAAATCTACTAAAGAGTTGAACGAACAAAATCAGGTTTCTTAAAATTGTGCCCTGCATCCCTGCACCAGTAAAACCAAGGTCTCCTACCCATCCCTTTACTTGCCCCCACTTCTTATCTACCAAATTTCCTGCCCACCTCCCATACTCAGGAAACAGAAGAAAAAACACAACAGGCAGATGAACAGGCAAGAAACCATACTGCTGCAGTTGCTCCAAGACAGAGCACCTACAGTGAAATAACATGTTTCCTACTCAGGAACACAAAGCTAAGCCTCCTGATCACTGTTCCACTTTCAAATCATTTCCCTGTTCCCTGGAGGAAAGCAAGAAAAGAGATTTCTAGCATCCAGATGCAAAAAAAGGAATGAAAACTGTTATTGACAGATACAATTCAAGTTTCTTCATACTTGAAAACTGCTACTGTTTGCTCACCTTTAAGGCAAACTCATACTTGCTTTATAAATGACTGAAAAATACAGATTTGCCACGCCTTTAACAGCTCTCTTCACATGCTCCCTGAACAGAGGACTCTGAATCATGAGCCCTCAAGGCATGGATACAAGAACAAGTTACCAGAAACAAGAATACTTACACAACAGTCCAAAAATCCCCAGTAAGGGCTCACCTGGGTGAGACAGGGAATTAAACTGCCTGTTCAGGGCAGCCCTTCCCTCTTTCACTGCGGATCCACAGCAGGTTTGTCGTGGAATGCAAACAGAAACTCAGCAGCCACTTCATGCTGCACTCACACACTTTCTTCAGTGCCTTTTTACTGTGCCCACCCCCTCACTGTCACTGCAAAACTTTAGTTCTTCCTTGAATACAGCTAATGCATAGTAAGGATCTGGTATCTTAAAATCAGGTTGTTCATCCTGGATGGCAACCCCATCTGCTGTGGATCAGATTCTCTGCAAAGGCAGAAGTTGAAAGTTGGTGGATTTTACTTTTTTAACATTGGGGGTGGGGCTTGTTGGGAAGTTTTGATATGAAGTTTTTCAGGTGTTTAATGTACAATGAAGTTTTGAGGCCATCTAAAAAAAAGGTCTACATACATAACCTTCACTGAAGCACCAAAGGGCATAAAGGAAACAATGATCTCTTTGCTCTAGAACTGACTAGAACAGTCAGTAACTGGAGGAATATAAGGCAACAGTTCACATGGTCCAAATGCCATACAGACTATTTAGCCTTAAAACCCCTCTTTGGTAGATTAGGAGATATCATTACCACTCTTTATAGATTGACAAGCAATAAATCCTTTTGTACAAGGACTTCCCTAAACTTTCTCCAAGAGATAGAACTCCTTCTCCTTAACCTATGAAGGCACTCACACAATATACGTGACAACTTCTTCACCTGAGCAACTGAAAACTTCTTACATGTCATCCTGACTCATTCAGATTATGCTCTATATAATTTATCCTGGAATAAAGACATCTCTTCACATTTGTAGTGAATGAAACAAACAAGTGAAGACACTTCACTAAAGGTGCTACTAAAATTCCAGAACTATATATCATTTTCTTAAAGAATCAATATTGTAGCATATATTGGTAGTAAAATGCCCATGTTGAACTCATTAGTCCCCAGTGAATCCTGAATAACCGTAACAAATATGTATGAGAGATCTCTTGGGATATTGTTGCTGTCTGACACTAACTTTATCCGTAGTAGAATAATTCCTGATGTACAGCAGTATGATATATACAATTTATTAGGACACAAATCGCATTTTTCTGCTTCAGGCAACACTACAACTTCAAGACTAAGGAGAGAAGAAAGCTGGGGAATGGAGAAAATAACCGAATATTTTGGGCTACAGCTCTTAACCCACCCCAAACATGTTCCCAGCCAACCCTGCTCTTTCTTACAATAAAACCCCAAAACAGCCAACACGAGGGAACACAGCATGTTCCTTTACAACAACCACACATTCACCAACTTCTCACTCCACAGCTCAGTTGGCCAGAGGGGACCGTCCTGTGAACAGTATCAATGCACTTTATCTGCACTAAATTAAGTATGCAACTTTGTATGCAGAAGCTCCTTTAATTATAACTTAGTCTTTTGATTTTTATTTGTGAATCTGTGTCTCCTGAACCAGGATTTGCTACCAAAAGACAAGTATTACCTAAATTAGATGTTTTATGTATTAGATATTTACTATGGCTAAAAAGCACTTATTAGTAAAACAAGGTCATAAGGGTAAAAGTATGTAATGACTATAATTCATAGTGAACAACAGAAAAGACTCCTCCATTTGCACAGAGCGAGGTGGTGAGACTCTTCCTACTCTTTTTATTGAAAAATTAATCAACCCCTTTTCCAAAGCTGTATATTAAAAAACAGACATTAAAGGAAAAAAAACCAACACCACAAACTTTAAAAATGCTACATGCATATACCTTAGCATTTATGTTGCAAATCAGGGTGGCCTTTGAGTAGACTGAGAGCCCTTCCATGCCAAATAAATAAGTAATGCCACTTCAGCATTTCAAACCTACTTATTTAATCAAAAAGTAAGTAGAGCTGTCAAAGGAAGCAAGTGTCATTCCACTGCTTATACATCTAGACTATGGACCAGGCATGTATTTACTGGTAGAGGCAGGAGAAAGAGCTTACAGTGCAAGAAGTCCTCTGCTCCAAATGAAACAAGCTATTCTAATTAAGTCATTTTTTTGTTGGTAGAAGTAAACTAACACCTGGCTTTTTGGATGTATCATTAGAGACATAATTACCCCTGTCAGAACCAGAAGCTTTAATGGAATTGCTGCCACCACATTCCTCCTCCCAGTGTACTTGGAGCAGGAAGAATGAGGCCAAATGTCTCTCAAACAGGTCACCCTAGAAGCACAGCATGCACAAGATCTGTGAAGTGCTGTCAAGAGGATAAACAAAAGCCAAAAAGGATGAATTTTTCTCTTGTTCCCCATTTTAGGCTCAAGGATCCCTTTTGCCCAGACAATCTCAATTTCAACAGGATGTGGTACAGCACCAGCCACGTGCTAACTACTTCAAATTGATGCCTGGGCAGCATTTTTAACTCCTCCTTCTGTAAAGGTGAATCTATGTGATGGTGTTATACTCCTTACTTTACAGTGACTCCAAATCTTGACTCACAGTATATAAACCTATTATTAGGCCTAAAGCTTACATGGACAAACCAAGCTTTTGCTCACAAATCACCAGCTGAAACCTACACAGCTCAACTACCAAACAGCCCTTAAAAACAAACAAATAAAAATCACCTGTGTAAATATACAAAGATAAGTGTTAAGTACAATTCCTGTCAGTCAGATCCTGCATCTGTGTTCCCATATGCTATGGTTTTACTCAAATCTGGGAAAGAGCGTACAAATAAATTTTTTTAATGACACCCCAAATTTGCAACCTGCAGTTGGAAATTTGCAGGAAATTTCCTGGAAACTGGGCAGGAGAACTAAACACACCACTGCCTGATAAAGCCCAACCACCTAAGTTCACACCAGAAGATTTGCCTTTGTGAGTTTCTGAACACCAGACATGGTTCAACACGAGAAACTGAAGCGGGAAAAACATTCCACAGTAATATATGAAGAAAACACTCCAGCAGGATGGGCTCTGCTGGGGAAGGATGGCTGCTGTGTATGAACATATACAGACACGTACACTGGAAAAAATCTGCAGAGCAGATGACTACAGAGGGGAACACAGCAGCCAACAAGGTGTCCTAGGAAATTCCCCTGGCCATAAAAATTACCCACCTGCCACAAAGAAAAATAAATTTACCAAATCACATTAAGAGCTTGTCAATAGCATATTCCTAAATAGTACTACTCTGAGATAGTGCTGTCAGATTGCCAGTCTGCTCTGTTCCTTAGAAGATATATGATATTCCCTTATTCGAAGGTTCTGACATTCTAAAAAAAGTTTTAAGATCAAATAGATCTTAATTAAAACAAAAAAAACACAAAAAACAAACAAACAAACAAACAACACATATAGAGTCACAATGCTTGGGACTAGGGACTAGAGACTGGAGATCATCACACTTCGTCAAATTCAACCAGCAAACACAGAGCAAGACTAGACCTTTCAGACTTATTAAAAAAATCCAGGTAATATAAACTTGTTCAGTATATACATAGTTATCAATAGTTGTTAACCATTGTAATGTAGCAAAATGACCAGAAATGTGACTATGACAGTGGCATTGCTGAAGTGCAATTTTACCTAGTTTATAACACTCCAGGTATTTTGGTTGCTGACTGCTGTTTTCAACTGAACAGAAAAGCAACTACGTCAGAAGGTAACTGTCTTTAAGGGCAAAGTACCTACAGTGCCAATAAAACCAAAGAGAAACAAGGCAATCTTTCAGGCAGGTAATCAACTACTGTTATGATTCAGCTGTTAGTCAAGTTTGCTACAACTCCACAGGTTCTACAAACAACCACTAATAACACAAGATTTTGCCCAGTTGATTTGGTTTTGGTTTTGTTTCGATTTTAAGTCTCACCCATAGGAATTATAAGGGCCAGTTGAATAGAAGTGTGCACCACTGGAATTACCACTTCAAGTTAGGCAATAGTAATATTTATAGTGGATCTGCTTTATTAAACCAAGCCATCTCTGAAAACTATTTGAGGATTAAAACTCGAGCAGCACTTTTAAGTCCTAAATATCAACACAGAGATCATGTTCCTTTGTGGTGCTCACCTTAAACTTGGTCATGGAGGAGGCTGAAGAATGATCAGTATCAGGTATCTGAGTCTAACACACAGGACGTGGAAAATTCAGCACGGGTGAGAGATAAGCATATCTTGCACACAGAGCTTCAGTGTCCCTGTTGCCATTCAGAGCTCTGCCAAACAGCCAAGCACACTTGCCCAAGCCCCAGACATCTTCACAGCTGCCTCTGAGAACGGAGCGGGCGGCTACAAAACGCTGCCTCAGGTTCAATCCACCGCCCTTGTTTAGGAAGAGTATGAGCAGCAGTGGGGATGTGACAGCAGCCAGCCACCTACACTGCTCTTTGCTTCCCCTCCACCTTCTGCATCACTTCTCAGACAGTTCATTTACCTGGTGTTTCTCAAGACTAGAAAAACACATCCTGAGAGAGAAACCAAACAAGGGCTACTGAATGAATGTTCTCTGAAACCCCTCCAAATCAATTTGTGTTTTTCAAAAATCTGACTACAGACCATAATGCTACAGTAATCTGAAGCCATACACCACTCTAAATGCAATAAGATAAGACAAGTAAGTATTCATTACCCCAAATATTCAGTGACAGCAGATCCTTCCACCAACCATATCTATTTCCAAAATAATACCGTTATCTACATCTGGAAGCAATAAAGAGGAAAATAAAGACTTTCTCACCTCCTCTTTTCATGCTGCATCTGTTTAACAGACCACCTAAACTTACTTGAGGCAAGTTGGCAGTATCTAAAATAGTCTTGTTTTGTTATCAGTAAGAATGGAGAGGACATTATCTATTCAAACTTACAGCATATAAAGACTAAGCAAATTTACTTACCTATAGTAACAATATTTAGTTCATTACTGTTAGAATAATTTTATGCATCTCATTACCTTTTAATTGCTTAGATTTTTTTACTTTGGGCTCCTCAGACTTGTCAGTCAACACAATTTAACTATTAATTTAACTATGTGTGCTACCATATTTTTTGTATAGTTTTAGATGCAAAACAGGATATAGAAGAGTATTTTAAATTTTTTTTCCACGGGCTAACTTTTCACCCGTTGATCAACTTTCTCATCAGCAATACAATCACTAAAGCCTATGCCAGCCTCACAACAATATACTATAATTCCTATGTTTAGGGATGAACAGCAACAACCACCAAGAACAGCGCCTTATAGAACTGGGTTTGCCAAGTACAGTTGCTATTTCAACAGCTCAAGTGGATCTTAGACAGCCAGTCCTCAAGTTACAGTAACTTTCCCTTGAACTAATTCCTGTAGTCCTGTAAAATTTCATTAGAGATTAAAGGATACCCAGCCTACTGGAGCAGAAGACATTCATACAGCAGAACTAAAGCCCCACTCTAAATAATTTCAAGAGGCTTGGTTTTCTTTAAAGATTAACCCAAACATATCTTTTTTGCAACTGATTATTGACATTTTAACAACTATCCTCTTGGCACAGACAACTCCTCTGGAGGGAAGCAGTCTGTCAGCAAAAACCCGCAGATTTTTAGCCTTATTTTTTGGTCCCAAAGTATCAAAACACACGGCTATAAGATTATCATTTTACACCCACTGAACCCTTCCAAGGCAGAATCTAACCTGTGCAGCTGGTCATCATGGATTTCCAATCCTGAGTGTACTACAACCAAAAAAGTAAGTGCCAGAGCAGGTCATAAACAGACCATAAACAGATGAACAGATGAAATTTGGTTAGGAAAAGCTTCTGCTATACAGCAAAGGTGGTCAAACACATTTACAGTCAGAACGAATGGTGGAAAAATGGGTGCTGATCACACTGCCATAATTTCACTGTTTTACGTAACTTTGTCCAACAGGTCTTTTCCAAATAGCTCCTCCCAGGCTCATAGGAGACCAGGAGAACTCAGTTGTGGGAATTACCAGCAGAGGATTACAGTGTGGCTACTTCAGACCTACAGCTTCTGTGAGACAGGAGGCACCAGGCACTTGATGCACGCTCACAAGCAGACGTCCAGAATTTAAACGGCTGGTAAAGCTGGATCTTCAAACATTGCCTACATGATCAACTAAGGCAGATACTTTGCTGGATCAACCTGGTTGCTGGATAGACTGACCAACAGAGTTACAAAATGGGCTGCTTCATAAGCATCCAAGCTCTTTTCCATGCCCCTTCTTCCAGAGGATTAAAGATGACAGTGGTTTAGTTTCTGAGTCAAACCAGGCACTCCTGACACTGCCCATGCACCAGGCGGAGGTACCGGACTGTTCTACAGCAAATCAATTTCCGAAACAGAAACCGACTCACACACGGCACCAAACCAGCCCAGGACAGGCACTGCCTTCCATTTACACAGCAGCTACAAACACTCCACACAAACTGAGGGCGCACCAGGGCGAGCCCGGAGCTATCGGCGGGAAGCGTGCTCACTGATGGGCAGTGGGATAGCAGGGCTTGGACGGGCTGGGTTGGGATCGGGTCCTGCAGGCTGAGCGGGAGGTGGGACATGATGCCAGGTCAGGCACAGCGCGGCCCTGCACGCGAGGCTCAGCTCCCCAGAGGGATGGCAAGGCGGGGATGGGGCTCCCTGGGGAGCAGCCCCGGGTGTCGGCCGTGTGACCCGCACACCGAGCACTCTGCCCCGGCTGCCATGTGCTGCAGCACCTCGGCCTCCCGCCATCGACCCCACGACGCCCGCGCTCACACCACCACGGCATCAATGAGGTTGGAAAGGACCTCCAAGATCATCGAGCCCAACCCATCTTCACCTGCGGGCACCGAGGCAGGCGCTCACACGGGAAAGAGCCAGCACCTTCCACCGCCCCGATTTATTTTACTATGGCTGTTACTGTGTCCCTCTGGCTGAGCAGAGAAAGAGGCCAGGGAAGGGGGGCTGTGGGACGCCCGGGCTGTGGGACGCCCAGGCCGCGCCCGCCCCGCCGCGCCCCGTTCCCCTCGCCCCTAGGCGGCCGCGCTCCCGCCGGCCGAGCCTGAGCCCTGCGGGGGGAGCCGCGCTCTTCCAGCGCCGGAGGCGGCGGCACCGCCCACCCCTACCTTGGTCCTTGAGGCTGGCGAGGCGCTCCAGCTGCTTCTCCTCGTCGGAGCTGTTCATCGTGCCCCGCCGCAGCCACCGCCGCCGCGGGCCGGCGGCTGCCCCGCAGCGCTGCGCCCGCCCCGCCGAGCGCGGCCTCACCTGTGAGCGGGAGGGCGGCGGCGGCCGCAGCCCCGGGGCGCGGCGGGCCCGGCCCGCTCCGCTCTGCACATGCCCAGACTCCCGCGGCGCCCCAGTGAGCATGTGCGGGTGCGGGCGCGGCGGCTCCGCGGGCAGCGCCGGCGGGCGGGGCACGGCGTGCACGGGGTGCCCTGAGCGCCCTCAGCGCCCGCCCCGAGCCTGCACGGGCACGGCCTGGCTGTGAGCGGAGTCACGGAACCCATTCGGGTGGCCGAGAGCTCTGAGGTCATCGAGTCCAGCCTGTGACCGAACACCACCACGTCACCCAGCCCATGGCACTGAGTGCCACGTCCAGGCTTTCCTTAAACACCTCCAGGGACGGCGACTCCACCACCTCCCTGGGCAGCCCGTTCCAATGTCTGATCACCCTTTCTGTGGAGAAATTCCTCCTCATGTCCAACCTAAACCTCCCCTGGCACAGCTTGAGGTCGTTTCCTCTCATCCTATCTCTTGTTCCTTGGGAGCAGAGCCCGACCGCCACCTGGCTCCCCCCTCCTGTCAGGGAGTTGTAGAGAGTGATGAGGTCCCCCCGAGCCTCCTTTTCTCCAGGCTGAGCCACCCCAGCTCCCTCAGCTGCTCCTCACAGGACTTGTGCTCCAGACCCTTCACCAGCTCCATTGCCCTTCTCTGAACTCACTCCAGCACCTCAATGTCCTTCTCACAGTGAGGGGCCCAGAACTGGGCACAGCACTCAAGATGTGGCCTCACCAGTGCCGAGAACAGAGGGACAATCACTGCCCTGCTCCTGCTGGCCACAGTATTCCTGATCCAGGCCAGGATGCCCTTGGCCTTCTTGCCCACCTGGGAACATGCTGGCACATGTTCAGCCACTGTCGATCAGCACCCCAGGTCCTTTTCCACTGGGCAGCTTTCCAGCCACTTTGTCCCCAGCCTGCAGCACTGCAGGGGGGTGTTGTGGCCAAAATGTAGAACCTGGCACTTGGTCTTGTTGAACCTCACGCTGTTGGTCTCAGCCCATCGATCCAACCTGTCCATATCCCTCTGCAAACGAGAGGAAAAATCCAACGGGCCCCCTGGCCCGTGGGGACACATGTCCCCATAACCCAGCTGGCATGGTCAGCAGAGGCCATGATTCCTTTCCCTCCAGACCCCAGTCAGGGTCTCCCACACGGTCAGTCCCCCATGAGCCAAGTCAAAGCCATCCTGCTCCACTCCCCACACAGCTGCTGGTGTGGTGCTGCATTTTTAATAAGCCCTTTTGCATGACTTCCGTAGGGCAACTTTCCAATAAGGATCCCTGCACAGCCCAGAGGAGTGATGGGAACATAAAAGTGCTGTTTGAGTGCCTTGGTACAAAGAAGGCTAAAAGGTTTAAAAAAAATAATAATTGGAAGGTTGCCTTTCTGTTTGCGAAGATCCAGGAGAAACAACTATATGCCAGTGTCCAGCACTTAATGGCAATTTTGGAACAACAAGAAGGTGAAAGGCTTTGACAGGGACCTGCTATGTTCCTTTCAAAAGAACACACTTCTCTCTGCTGTTCTCTGATGATCCCTGTCCTGAAAAAGGAGGGGATCCAATGATAACCTCTGTATTAAATTGATTACCTTACCCAGCTTATTCCAAGGCTGACACTGCAGAGGTTGTTTGTGCTTCTGCTTTTTGCTGAGTTTCAGTTGCAGTCGGCTGAGCAGCAGCTATCTTCAGATTTGCATGGGCAAAGGTACAGTTCACATGCCTCCCTCCCTCCTTCTTTGGCAAACACCCATTGATCACCGTGGCAGGCAGGTCAGAACACACAGCATTGCCACAGATGTGGCAATATTAGTTAGAAATGCCTGAGAATGAAAGGAAAAAGACCTCTCTGCAAAGCATTGCTCAGTTACCTCCTTTCTGTGTTCCCTAGTCTTCCCATTTTGACCTAGAAAACCTTTAAAACGTGAAGAGATTCCTTATGGATGCTTTACAGCATTTTGTGTCCTAGAGGTAGTTAATAACTTGTATACCATCCTGGAAAGAAGCCAGGAGATCCACATGAGCTAAACTGGTGTCTCAGAAGTGTGGTATGCCCAGGTAAGACAAAGGAGGTTTCGCAGGCAAGTTCATAAGCTAGTCAGCTTATTTCGAACTAGTCAGCACAAAACACCTTAAACTGTACCAAATGCAAAGTTATAAATTCATGTTCCTAGTCATATGCAAAGAATGGAAAATGACCTTGGAAAACGAAGGCTCTGTAGAGGAAGTGGGAGGCAAAGTAATTATGTAAGTGCTGCCAGTAAGGTACTGCAGGAAAAGAATGGGAGTATGCTGACAGCAAGGAAAAGGTTTCTTCTATAATGTTGGCAAGACCAAAATAAATCTACTGTGTCCAGTTCTCAAAAAAATGGTACAGAAAAATTTATGGAGAAAGCACAAGAGAAGAAAAGAAAGACCTAGAGCTTGAGGAAAGTTCTTTGCAATCAGAGACCTTAAACCCTTGATCTTTTTAACTGAGCAAAAAGGAAACAAATTATTGGGTTATGGTAATCTGACAGGAGAAAACCCTCAATACTTGAGGGTTTTTCAGCCTAGCGGAAGAGAGTCAATCAGAATCTGTGTCTGTAACCAGAAGCTGAAAATAAAAGCTACAAATGGAGTCACACATCAATAACTGCCTCCATTTGAAGGAACACAGAGGTCCTATTTAGGTCCTTAGAGTTCTGGGATGACCTCAGTTTTGAATGGCCCCACGTTAAGTCAGAGCAGTTTTGCCAGATTTTTAGTTTTTAGTGTCCTTTCTTGGGCTGCCTGTTGGCTTCCCTTCAGCCACAGGTCTAATTCCAAGCCCCTCTTCCCACTGCTGATATAATTCCCCTTCGTTTCCAAACCAATTTCTTTCATGCAGTGTAATAGCAGGATTTGCAAAAGAGTCGTTGTATGTTGCTTGTCCCTGCACCATGCCAAGACACCGGGCACTTTCATCCTTCTACAATGTTCCGTCTGTTGTGTTCAGCTAGAACAGGGCATAAAATCTCTCTGATATCTGCAGAGACAACAAGTCAATTCTTCCATTATTTTATTTATTTATTCAAGTTAAAGTGTTTTGTCTACATCAAAAGAATTCACTTCTGTAATTTCTATATCGCAGCTTCATCATTTTTCTTCTTGTTTTTATTCACACCTGCATCCAGATATAATACCTTGAAAAGTCAGCGTTTAAAACAAGGATCTCCTCATTGCAGATCATTGTGGTTGCAATACTGGGATGGGTACCACTACAACATTATTATTTATTATTATATTAATAATATTATTACATTAATCATCTCTTGTTTATCTTTTTCTAAGTTAGAAGATGTCTGAGAAGTAAATTCTATTACTAAATTTGCTAACGGATTCCCCTAAGGATTTAACATCCCCAGAAATGTTTCTCTGGATCATGGATTCAGTTCATTGTTTTCAGGGTTATTTTAAATCAGAGTTAGTTTGTAGTACCTATTTTTATGTAATATAATGTCCACATTGTGATTTGATACACAGTCAGTATCAAGGTGGAGTCACTTTCTACTGGACATGACATGTCATGGATAATCCATGTCCTTTTGGAGACCAACATTCAAGTTGATTCATCACACCTCTAGGTCCTGCCAGCTCGTAGCTGAGGAGAATGGATGAGAATCTGGCTGGTATTCTCAATTACACCGTAGCCAACAATTGTATAAAATAGGATAATTATACAGAAAAAAATGAAAGAGAAAAAAAATACCAAGAGGTTTTTCTTTCCTTGACTTACCTTGGGATAGATCTTAGTGAGATTGGACACCTCCTGTTGTTCTGACTAATGAGTGAAGCTGAAAATGACTTCCCGACATGTTTGTGTAACTCAGGCTGTTGTACCTGTGCAGAATATTACTAATAAATAGCTTGCATATAATTTTTGTGATTTTTTTTTCATGGTTCTTCTCTTGGATGGGACTTTGATGAGTACTCAAATGATGGACTTGGCAAGTTGAAAATATCACAGACTGACAAACTGAAGCAACTGTTAGTCACATAATTCCTAAATTCACATAATTCCTAAATTCATAGAATCTAGAGTAAAGAGCTAGGAATTCATGGAATCATAAAATTTTTGAATTTTGAAATTTGAAATTTCAAATCACAAAATTTGAAACAATTATCATGTTTATGAATGATTTTGTCCTGAGATCATCTAGAGACAATAAATTTTGAACTTAATCTATAGAATTTTTTTTTCTTGTAAATTAGCTATTTAACATAACAACACACATAACTGTACATACAGAAGTAAAGATTCTGGTACCTTGTCAAATAGGTACTACAATCAGAAATTTGATGTAGTCGTTATCCAGACTAAAATGTGCATATTCCTTGAGGATTCATCAGCCTCTTGTTGAAAAGAGCTACCTGGTGGAAACAAGTGTGACTACAGGCTGCAGGTACCCTCAGGGCATGGCCACTGCCACACCTTCACCACTTTCAGAGCAGATGTATTTTGTGGGGGGAGGGGGGACAAGGAAAAATAAACTACATAATCGCTGCACAGATAAACAACTATAAATAAACTAAAAAAAATAAATATGGCAGTAGCTATTTGAGCATCTAATTAACGTGATGAATAAGACTAAGCAGCTTATCTTGCTGAGGTAATGTATATTTTTCCATCAAACCAATCAGTGCTGAATAATGACTAGCATAATATATCAGGGTAAATATAAGCACTTCTTGTCTCCGTAAGATGACAAATAACTAATCAGCACACATCCAAACTGGAATATAAGTATGATTAGAAATAAAAAAACTCAGATAATGTGGATTAATTTGAAAAACTTAACCGTTTGATTAGAGACACTGGCATGATCTTTGCTAGTTAACTCCATCTAAGATGGCAAACACGTCTATCTGCACAGAAGAAAGGCACAAATTGATTGGGGGATAAATCAGAGGAAAATTAGGTATTTAGCATGGCA